GCTACCCAGTACAAATGCCTCTTTAGTTCTTGGGAGATTAGCCTAATGTCTAGTTCTAAACACATAGTTCCTATAGCTACTGTACCTGCTACAAAACCCCTTTAGCTCTCAAGGGAATTGAACAGTTAGCCCGTTTTATAAAACAAGTTCCTATAGACACCTGGTGCGAAAGCCCCTGTAGCCTTTGGGGGACTGGCCTGGATTATTCCTATAACCAAGTTCCTATAGCTCTCCGTTGTGAAAGCCCCTTTATTTTTGTGTGGACCTGTCTGGCGGTTAGTTCTTATAACTAAGTTCTCATAGCTACCCGCTGTGAAGACCCCTTTAGTTCTGCTTAAACAAGCCTGTTGTTTAGTTCCTATAACCAAGTTTTTAGAGCTATCTGATGTAAAAAGCCCCTTTAGTTCTGGGTGGACCAGTCTGGTGGCTAGTTCTTATAACTAAGTTCCTATAATAACCAGCTGCTAATTAAGTTTCTAGAGCTATCTGTTGTGAAAGTACCTTTAGTTCTGCGTGAACCAGCCTTTTGGTTAGTTTAAGTTCTGCTAGCCAGTTTTGTAACTAAGTTCCTAGAGCTACCCGCTCCAACGAACAAACAAACAAACAAACAAACAAACAAACAAACAAAAACCTTCAAACCAGCCTGATGGCTAGTTCTTATAACTATATGATGCCAAACCACTTTAGGGCATGGGATACCAGTCTGGGGGTTTAGTTCCTATAACCAAAGTAAGTTAAATGTGCATACAAATACAAATAATCTTAAATAGTTAATGAGACCCAGTGTATTCTCAAGTTATCGACAACACAAATCAAACTCTTATAAAATTTCAGCATTTGAGGGCCAAAATTGATGTTTTTCTTGGGCTGATCTTTCATTTAGGAGACAGTAACGCTTCATAATCATGTATTTTTAAACATTTAGCTGTTTTACAATCTATATCACACACTACACAAAGCATAATAGAGGCACTTTAAGGGAATAGTTCACCCAAAAAAACAAAACAATGTTTTTATTCTTTACTCACTCTCATGCTGTCCCAAAACATTTTAAAAAGTATTATTTGCTCTTATGTTGAAGAAAAAAAAAAGTCATACAGCTTTGGAATGAAATGAGGGTGAAAAAATAATAAAAGTGTTTTTACTTTTGGCTGGATTATATAAAAAAATTATTTATTAAACTTCTAATAAAATGTCAACAAAATTATTAAATACAATATCTGATAATGTTATGTATCTGACTATCTTGTATCCTGGAGAAAAAAAAAACTGTGGGGGAAAGAGAAGACAACAGAAATGTGAAGAAACACACCGATCTGAGAAACCGTGAAGACGAATGCATGACAAATTCTGGGTTTATTCCCTTTCAAATGATCCCATTACACACGTCTCAATGAAACAATGGATGAATTAGTTAAGCTTAAAATGTTTTAAAAAAGGGCACCTTAAATCAGAAATATTCAAACACTTTTTTTTTTTTTTTTACATATAACAGAGCCAGCTGTTTTCTTTTTCAATCAAGACAACATAAAAGGGAATAAGTTAATACTGACTCAGACCTCCGACATGACATTTGCTAGACTTTTAAAGGGACAGTCCTACCAAAAATAAAAATTCTGTTATTCATTTACTCTCATGTCATTCCTTACTTTAACAATATTATGTTGTTAATGGAGGGGGACTTGCGTATTGCAAAAGCAGCAACATAAAAGTACAGCTTCATAATCGTATAGCTTCAGTAAATGTAAAAAAATAGCACCACTGCAACTGAATGAAAAAGATCCTTCTAAATTTCTTCAACATAAGTAATATGGGTTTTCGGGTGAGAAAACAAATACAGAATTTCATTTTTGGTTCAGAACAATATGAATGAGAAGCCATCATAAAAATCCTTCATAAAAACTGGTGTGATCACCAAATAAGAGCTTTTCAATTATTCTAATTAAATACACACACAAAGCTAGAGCAAAAATGGAACAAAGACAAACATGAGACCAAAAAAAATGCTGACCGAACTAACCAAGTACTTGCCATTTTGTGATTTTCATGTTTAAGTGAAAACATCAAACTGTAAAATACGTCATTTTATATATTAGGTTCCATTTGTATACTTAAACATAGAAGAAAAGAATATTAAACCAACATTACTTATAAACAACCCCTTACAGATCTATGGCTGTGTATTGTTAGGTGAGTGCAACAAGTAAACGGATTTGTATTTGGTTAGGAGTTAACGGTCAAAGCTTTGCCTTTACAGTTTGTTGAACCAGTTCTGTCAAAAAAAGACATTACTATTGGGTTCATGCCTATGTACTTTCAGATATAATAAACACCACCATTCAAATGTTTGGGATATTTGAATGCTTTTGAAAGAAGTCTGTTATACTCACAAAGACATTTCATTGAGTAAAACCAAAGACTCTAGAATACACAAGACATGTCACTCGTATAGTTTTGAATGGGGAAAAGTGTAACGATATGGCGAATGAAGCCCCACCATCTATTGCAGGAGCCAATCAGTGTTTGCTGTAGACTGACGATTCACCAGGGGAAGGGCTCGGACCAGACACGAGTTTCTGCAGATTTTGTGTGATTTAAACGTTTAGAAAAAAACTAAAGAGACAGTTGCTGTAGAATTTTATTGGTGATTCCAAATATGAAATGTATCGTAAGCTTGGCAAGCAATTTTGGAGAATTTGATGTTTCCCCATTCAAACAGAATGCCTGAGAATAATGCCCGTGAGGCATTTCAAAGATGGCAGTTGAGTGAAATGACTTGCCTTAAAGGGACTATGTCAAAACTAGAGTGGGGAAAAAAAAAGAATGAGTAATACTGTTTACCAATTACAATTTATAAGTATTTGATTATATATTAAAATGTAATTTATTCTTGCGATGTCAAACCACTTTACCGATACTTTTTTTTGATCAATTTAATGTGTGTTTGCTAAATAGAAGTATTTAAAGCAGTGATATATATAATGCCGAGCATACACTTAAAAAGTATTTTTACTGCTTGTTCAAACTACTTATTTAAAATGAGCTGAACCATTTTACTTAATTATTTAATGTTCTATCTTACTTTAATCGGTACTAAATTTGTAAAAACCATATAGTTAACTTAATCGATTTGTGTTGGGATAACATGCAGGAACTGTGTGGAGCCAGCATTATTTACATTGTATACGAGTACATCCCTGACAAATATCCCTTTAAATGCTTTAAAATAATGTTTTTGTGTATTTATATCTGATCAGTCAGTACTGTAGCCAAATCTGTAGCTAATCTAACAAAATAACTTAGGACAAAAATTAGTACATCTAAATGTATATGTTAGGGAAAATAATAAATATTACAAAATAATATTTTTTTAAATAATAAAATCAAAAGAAACAAAAATATATAAAACTTTATTATTTTTTTGTAATATTTAGTTTAAATTTAAATGTATTATCTTTCTATTTCTAAGGATGTTAGGTGACCAAACTATTATTTAATGAATATAACTATTTAATAAACCTGTTTTATTAAAATACACCAAAATATTTACTGAAAAATGGATAAACATATTCATTTTCAATGAATATTACTTATTGTACTCCTTCATGATCAGCACTATACAGTTGAAGTCAGAATTATTAGCCCTCCTTTAAATTGTTTTTCTTTTTTAAGTATTTCCTAAATGATGTTTAACAGAGCAAGAAAATTTTCACAGTATGTCTGATAATATTTTTTCATCTAGAGAAAGTCTTATTTGTTTTATTTCAGCAAGAATAAAAGCCGTTTTTAATTTTTTAAAAACCATTTTAAGGTCAAAATAACAATAAACAATAACTTGACTAATTACCCTAACCTGCCTAGTTAACCTCATTAACCCAGTTAAGCCTTTAACTGTCACTTTAACTTGTATAGAAGTGTCTTGAAAAAATCTAGTCAAATATTATTTACTGTCATCATGGCAAAGATAAAATAATTCAGCTATTGGAAATAAATTATTAAAAGTATTACATTTAGAAATAGGTTAAAAAAATCTCTCTGTTAAACAAAAAATAAATACAAAATAAACAGGGGGGCTAATAATTCAGGGGTGCTAATAATTCTGACTTCAACTGTATATATTTTACAAAATACCATTTAACTTACAGGTTTCTCATGAACGTGTCTGTGAAGTTTCATCTAGTGACAACAGATGGAACACCATGCTGTAAGTGTACAGTGTGCCATTATTTGGAATCTGTTTCTTGTATTCACAAGTGTCACTTTAAATGCAAATGAGATGCTGCTCCACACCTACTTTTCAGAAGAGGGTGGAGCTTTTACAGCTAGTGCCTCAGTTACTCTAACAGCAACACACAAAACATCTGCATTGGTTTCAAAGTTCTGTGAGACATGATGTGTGCACAGAAAGGAGGATGTCAGATTGAATGGTACATAATTGTTAAAAAATGTCCAAATATTGTTTGTGTCTCTCAATGTAAACAGTCGGGGGCATATTTGTCAAATATTTTAAACAGCATATCTGATATGTGACAATGTCTTTTGAGTATAGAGACTATGACCCCTTTAAAATAATACTCATCCCAAATCCCAAACTTTTGGATAGTAGTGAAACAGTTTAAAAAAAAACAGTCTGATGAATATCTTAAAATTCTCATCCCCGTTTCAAATTAGTTAAAAAAAAAATGTTTGCAAAGTAAGGCAAAGAGAGCTTGCAAGTTCATTTCACTAAGATGTCCTACAGGCTACATAGCTTACTGAACTTTCCTTTCCTGTCATTTTTGGCATTTATATGGATTCAATCTGTTGATCCCACAAGTTATCGAGTGTTGTGGGCATGGCATGTATGGATTGATGAAATATCGACATACTATAAATGTCCAAACGAAATTCCAGATCACAAAAACCAAACTTCACAAATCATCCGTGCTCATATTTACAGTGTCAATACATTTACAACCTCACAAGTCATTTTGACACGATGGATATATATATAATTATTCTTTTTTCGCAGTGAGAATGATTTCATGAGAACATGTTTGGCCTTTTCTTATTATTTTGTGATATTCAGACTGTACGCTTTTTTTTTAAAGCATCCACATGTTTCCGTCATGATGTGTTCATTAAATATTAATGATTCCAATCATAAGAATGGAGAAATGACATGGAAATGTACTGTACATGCAGAGTATAGCCTCATGGGGGTTGTAGCACTCGTTCCTTCTCAATTTCATTCAGCCTCAGGACAAATATTGCCCTTCAAGACTATTATGAGTCGACTAACTAATTGCCATCTAATTTAGCATGAGACTTCAAGTATGTATCTATGGGCCACTTCAAGTTAAAGACTCCCGGCATGTCTGATGAGTGCCGCAGGTCTAGACTGTTCCAGAATGTTCCGTTTTGCCAGACATTTAAGTGTCACATGAGGTAACCCAGGTTTTGAAGAAGTTCTTTATCAGCCCTAGGATGTCGATTACCTCACTAGTGAGAGCTCAAAGAGAACATCTCAGTTACAACCTCAGCGAAGGTGAAGAAGTAATCAAACGTGTCCAAGTCAAGGTGCCATGGTCCTCAAGCCCTGTTTTTCCATGATGTTCCAAAGCTTCCGCAGGTTGGACTGAGTGATGGTGTCGTCCGGCTTTAGCTGCAGGGCTCGCAGGTAATTGGCTTCTGCTTCCTGAAGTTTGCCGTTGAGATGCAGAATCGCTCCAAGATTCATGAGAGCTGCTGGATACTGTTGATGAAAAACATCACTTTATTGTTACCTTGACATCATTAATAACAAATTGTATTTTTATTTTTTAAATGGAATATTGCATGTGTAATGGTTCACAGAATTCGGTGTTATTTACATTTGTAAACACTAGTTTTTCCTTGCACCATTCACAAGCAAAAACATTTACCACACATAGAAACTGTATTTCTATTACACTGTCTTGACCGCCATATGTTACTTCAGAAATAAATAAATAAATGACTAATTACATCATTAAAGTTGTTTTTAAATTTATTCACTCATTCATTCTCCTTCAGCTTAGTCTCTAATTTATCAGAGGTCATCACAGCGGAATGAACTGCCAACTATTCCAGCATATGTTTTACGCAGCGGATGCCCTTCCAGCAGCAAACCAGTAATGGGGAACACCCATACATACTCTCATTCACATACACTACGTCAAATTTACTTTATTCAATTCACCTATAGCGCATGTCTTTGGACTGTGGGGTAAACCGGAGCACCTGGAGGAAACCTATGCGAACACAGGGAGAACATGCAAACTCAACACAGAAATGCCAACAACCCAGCCACTTTCATCTTGTTTGAAAAGTAACTTATTCAAGAGTAATTTAATTACTTGACTCAATAATAAACATTGACATTAATCTCAATGTAGAGGTCTGCATTATTGGTACATACTGATATAGCCGCAAGACCTGACCAGATTTCTTGCGGAGCGGGAATAGATTTCCGAATAAAATATGGTATCTGTTGGAACCTCAGGTTTAAGGCAGCACTTATGTCTCATCACAAAGGAGCAAATGAAACTGGCATTTAGCCTACGATCCTTGCACAACCTACAGTTATTTCTGTTATCTCTCTCTTTTGGTTGTGCCCATTTAAACGTGAGATTTTGGAAACCAGAACCAGGGAACGGTCGGGTCAGATAGAAAATGGGACGGGTTGGGCAGTGGCTAAACAAAGGCTGAATATAGGGCGGGAGCGGTCAGGCGTGGAATAAAACCTTGTATTCCTGCGTAGACCTCAATGCATGAGCAGTGGAAATTACTCCTAATTATTGTTATTTTTGAGTCAGACAGGACGTTTTATTTTGTTAAATGTAAAAAATATATATATTTAATTAAATTTAAAACAAAATGTGTGTTAAAACTCAAAATGCTTCGAAGGAATGACTAGGCCCACACAGAATCTGCACGTGCAGAAATCCACAGACGTACGCATATTTTTAGGCCATAATTGAGTCTATGTATTTACTTGTTTAAATGTATATGTAAATGTTTATATTTATTCATTTTTAAGCTAATTTCACAAATATTATTGTGATATAATAATAGTAATATAAAAAATTTCATATGATTTATGTACAATACAGTTTGTAAAGTAATATGTTCTGTCTTTTAGCAGAGACATTATATGAGAGACTTGCTTAGTTTACTAAATAAGTGGATTTATTTGGATGTGCATTGTAATCATTAAATCATACATGATTAAATCATAAGTCATGTACTCCTAAAATCATTCCACATAAATCTGCAGGTTTTTTACAAAATTCTCAGCAGAAATAGCAAAAAAATGTCTGCAGATTCTGCCTGGCCCTAGTAATGACACCATGTTGAATACAATACAAGTTTGCAGTATACATTTTCTAAAATGTTTCATTGTTTCTTAAACAAGTAATATTGTCAGAAAAAAACTATCCTTCTCTAGATAAAAATAGAATGATTATTATAAAACATACAATTCATGTGAATCTCTGAATTTATACCACATATTGTCATTAACTAATTGCTCAATATTTTGTTTATTAAGCATATGCAACTGTCTTGATTAATGTACTTGTTCTAATTTGAAAAACAGAATTAATCAGCAAAATATATTTGTAGAACAACAAAAATACAGATACTCTGCTTCTCCGAAATGATTTATACAAAACTGTCCAATTTATGTACATTAAACAAGTACATTATAAGTAACTGTAATTAAATTACCAAAAAATGAAAAGTAATTCCTTTATTTAAGTTATTTAAGTATTTAAAAGTAATTTAAAACACAGTAACTTATTACATTGCAAAAAAAAAAAAAAAAACACACCCAATACTGGTCTTGTTCAGTTTAAATATCTATCTGTTATTTCTCTTGGTTTTTAACTTAAATATTGTAATATTTTGTTTTATGTACAGCACTTTGGTCAGTCTTGTGGCATTTTTTAAATGTGCTCTATAAATAAATGAACTTGAAAAAAAATCTCATCTTTAAATTGCCTCATTGTGCTTATCTTCAAATTCACCATTCAAACTCAGCACAGAAACCAACAAAAAGCTGCTTGGTTTGAAAATTATTTATGTTTAAGATGACTAAATACAACATATTTAACAACTAAAAATGGACCTTGTTTGCATGATTGCATCTCAAGGAAGCAATAATACTGTTTGCATGTGTATCCTCAAGGTTGTAGCAATTCGTTTGCATTTTTGAAATGGTTTTTAGGTCCGCAGGTACATAAATCTCCTCAGAAAGTGTCTGTTATTCAACAGTCTATAACTCTTCAGGACGTGCATCATCTGTTTTACTTATGTCAAGGTTTCATGAGTAATGCTGAATGCATCAGCGTTCAATGGAAACAATATGTTGACTGCACTGATTCTTCTCACATAAAGCGATTTCAATAGACACTTAAATCAAACTGAACCTATAAACAAAACCCAAGAATCCTTACACAGAAATACAAAAACACATTTGCTGTATAAAATACAGGCTTGCAATCACACAAGCAGTTCAATTTTTTCTTTTAAATGCAAGAAGGTGATGTGATTTAATCCAAAAATCATTTGTGAATATGCTTTGCGTTTAGCACGCCACTTCTGAAGCAGAGAGACATATATTATCTAACATTCATGAAAGTAAAAACTTACACTAACTGACATTTAAGGCCGCCTGCCACCGGTTTCCCACATGGAAATGTAGAAAGAGACGATCGTTGTGGAATTATACAACACATAAGTAATATATTAGCGCTGTTTGACTCAACGTGTAGAAGTCAAACCTCAAAATGAGACTGAGGGACAAATGAACTGCAAACTGTGGCATTAACTGCACTCAGGTGACACATATACCTTCCTCTCAAATATATTCACGGGCAAATTCAGCAGCTTTTACGCTTGCTACTAATATCCAAGTAACTGTAGTGGGAAAAATAATATAGGAAAATGGAAAAGTACAGCTTCTGTCAGGTCAAGTTTCGCTAAGTTTACAGACATTTTCTAAAGCTATTTTTTTTTACCAGCAATAAATAAATAAACAATTAAAGACCTGAAAAGTTGACATCACAAATTAAGTTTTTTTTCTTATTATCTTTAAAGTAAGACAGGAAGGTGAATAAGATAAAGGAAGAAAGAAACCCCAAAAGTTACCATACTAGCCCAGATACAATTTTGCATTGCTTTTTATTTATTTATTTTTATATGCAAATTATATATTACTTCATTATTTCAAGTTCAATTTATGGTTTCTGTTTTCTAAAGCCATTTTTAAAGACCTGCAAAGTTCATTCATTTTATTTCAGCTTAGTCCCTTATTCATCAGGGGTTACCAAAGCAGAATGAACCCCCAACTATTTCAGCATACTGCATACTGCGACAGTGCTAACTGCTAAGCCAGTGTGCCACCTGACCTGCAAAGTTTACATCACCAATTGAGTTAAAAAAAAATAAAAAAATCTTTAAAATATTACTGGAAGGTGAATAAGGTTAAAATAGACACCCCTACAGTACATCATCTCAAATTTAAATTTTTTTTAGAACCTTTTAAGACTATTAGGAATTAAATTTTAGACTTATATTTATTGTGGAGACATTTTTTACACAAATAATGACAAAGTTTTATTTGTTGGCTTTTTGTCCAAATTAATTAAGTATAACTTCTTTTCAACCTAATGCCTTTCTGTTATAAAACCTTAATTTTCATGCCATATTTGTAGATATTATGTTTACTCCCCCTTACTTCCATAAATAGTTTTTGTATGAATGATGGATTACGTAAAGAGACATAGTGCTCTGTTATTATCCTGAGGAACTGTGTATTTGCTTTTAGTTTTCTTTCCTGATTTTATTAAGATTGGTTGTTGGCGATTGGGCAAATGTCAGTGATATTGGGTAGCTTTACTTGGACAGAGGAAAATTAAGATCTGTTTAAAATGATTCAAGACACAATGAATTCAATTCTCTTTAAGACCTAAAATTAAAGCTTGTGAAATTTAAGACACTGTAAAAAGTCCCCACAGACACCTTGATCACCATACTTGCCCAGCTAAGGTTTTGGATTGCTTTTTGTTATGTTTAAATATGCAAATAATGCATTATTTCATTAGTATGCCGTCAATTGCATACACTTCTAGCACAAAAATCTGATCTCTGGATGACATCATGTTCAACTTTCTCGTTTAATTTTACTGACATATCTACAGATTTACTTTTTCTCCACAACATAGAAAATACAGCCAGAAAAATAATGTAGCAAAAAATACATATGAACATATACCTCAGTAAAAACCTTCAAAATACAGATATGAATAAAAATATAAGGTTTGATGTGCGAAAGTGCTGCTGAAGTGGAGATTTGTGGCTCGGTACAGGAGGAAACATTATTTTGAGAAAATGGCTTTAAAATATGTTGTGTGAAAGAAATCAGACACAAATAGATAAAGGGTGGCAAAAGAAACACTTACAGCACATGCATTATTCATGTTCTCTTTGCATTAGACTAAAAAAAAACACAATAAGTGCAAAATCTCAAAACAGCACATGAAGGAGTGTTTTTGCTTGCACACTGCAAAACCCAACTTTATCAAATGAAATGAGCATAGTTTAATCAAAATTTGCTAAACGTAAATTCTACGATTTGAAAAGAGTTTTAAACTCAGTGATTGAAGGTAATTAGTTAATTAAATACAAAATTACTTAAACTCAAATGGAGTAAGTTCACAGCACTCATATAGATTCATTTTTTTACTCAAATGGTTTAAAGCAATCGGTCTCCTCAAATGGTTTCAGTTACCTTAACTTATTGAATTTCACAGTGCAGTGTCACATCTAAAAAAAAAAAAAATAATAATATTTGTATGTGCATATTTATTTTTGTGCACATTTCAGTGTTTGAAGGCTCCCCAGATGTTTGTAGAGACCTTCTGCAGAGTAGAAAAAACAACTACTTAAAGAAAGTGTTTCTAGATAGAGTCAGGTGAGAGGAAGTGGAGAGGAATCTGTCCTGCTGAGGTCTCCAGAAATTTCCTGACCTCTTCCTTCCTCTTCTGCCTCCACACTTTAACCTCACTGAATCCCACACAACAGCAGACTGGCATGCAGTCACAGCATCAGTCGGACCAGATGTGGAAAGGATCTTGGGACCTTTGTTTCAACAGCTGCTAAGGAGACAAACATCCCTGCAGACTGTTCAACAAAATCCAGACACTGCACAGCACTGGAATAAAGGCGACATTTTCTAAAAATAAAGTAAATAAAAGGAGGGCTTTCCAGCTGGTAGCAGAGAATTTAACAGGTAATGTCGTTTTGTATTTTTTATCAAGGTTTTAATGTAGGGTATTAATAATGATGATAATGATGATAATAATAAAAAAATAATATTTACAAATTTTGTTTTATCTTTAATCATGCTTTTTAATGAAGATCAATAATAATAATAATAATAATAATAATAATAACAATAAATATGTTTATAATAATAATAATAATTATTATTATTATATATAACTGTTATTAGATGAAATTGAAGATAAAATGATATTTGCAATAATAATAATAATAATAATAATAGTAATAATAATAATAATTATTATATATATATATATATATATATATATATATATATATATTACTGTTATTATTATTATTATTATTATTAGATATGAATATTATTAGATGTAATTATTAAAGATAAAATGACATTTGTTATAACAAAATAATAATATTATTAATAAAAATATATATACAATAAAAATAATATTTATATTATTTATATTTGTTATTATTATTATTATTATTATTATTAAATATAACTATTATTACATAAGATTACTAAATATTATAGATAGATATATCTATAGATGTAGATTAATTTTTTTTATTAAACTTACAGAAAAAAGCGTAAATAAAAAAAAAATATTTAAAAATGAAAGAACAAAACCATACATAAGTAATAATATAATAATAAAACATTGCTTAATCAGCTGACACCATCTATCCTCATATTAAGCTTAATCATTCATTTTTTTCTTTTTCGTTTTTTACATTTCCAGCTAGCGCTTCTGTTTGGCAAACAGGGCAACTTCCTCTCAGGCAGCTGCTCATCCAACATCAAACGCTTTACATTTTCCAAAGAAATCAAACAACTGTGTGTTCTGTGAGCCTCACGGTACACTTTCCTGACACACATCCCTTTAAAGTCCCTCCAGAAGACTTCTACAGTTGGTCACCAAATAAACGTGTGAAGCAACTGAGGCACGCCAATGACGATGAAACACTACAGGCAAAAATCACGCTTTGCACATCCACCAGTCAATTTTGACATTTTGTCCTTTTGGGCTTTGCATAATAAGCTTTTTCAGTCTTGTGTTATAGAAGAACATGCAAAATTCACTTTTAAGTGTTTGCATTTGTAGACTTCTATTGCAATACATGCTATTTGTAAATCAGTTTTCTCAAAATGAGTGTCTTCCTCCTGCATAAAGCCATAATTTTACATTTCAGCAGCAACAACATACACAGAACTTGTAAAATAGATGTATAAACATAAATGCTTTAATAACTGATTTCTTTTATCTTTGCCATGATGACTGTACACAATTTTAATAGATTTTCCTCAAGATATTAAAATTCAGCTTAAAGTGCAATTTAAAAGCTTAACTAGGTTAATTAGGTAATAAAAATAATTGTATAACAGTAGTTTGTTCTATTGAAAAAGGGGGCTAATAATATTGACCTTAAATTATTTTAAAACAATTAAAAACTGCTTTTGTTCTAGCTTAAATAAAACAAAAAAGACTTTCTCCAAAAGAAAAAAAATATAGGAAAAAATACCTTGCTCTGTTTTTCATCAGTTGGGAAATATTTGAAAAAGAAAAATGATTCACAGGGAGGGCCAATAATTCTGACTTCAACTGAATACGTGTCTCTATATTGTCAATTTATTTTTTTTTTTTTTTACAGAGGAATACGCTTATACATAATTTGGTTGCTTATGTAGCATATTATATAAAGCTTATTTCACTTTTCAGACTGTTCTACAAGTTAAAAAGTGATAAAACATATCCCACAATTTCTACTCTAACCCAAATGTGCTCCCAATTAATATTGAGTTTAATATTGAGTTGAGTTAACATTTATTTGCTGATCATTTTTAAATATAAGTACAGTGTAAAAACATAAATTAGTACATTGATTAGGCCTATTTACATGCAAGTAATAAGACCACTAAACAAAGTATGACCCCGAATGTCAAAATTCGAATTCGAACCTCTTCGAACCACAGAACCTCTTATAATAAATATAAAAACAAGCAGCTGTTGTGTTGAGCAGTCCCTCCAGAATTTAGCAATTCTGTGATCATTGAATTCTGTTAACAAAATTCAGAGGAGGGCGAAGCAGTGGCGCTGTAGGTAGTGCTGTCTCCTCACAGCAAGAAGGTCGCTGGTTTGAGCCTCGGCTCAGTTGACGTTTCTGTGTGGAGTTTGCATGTTCTCCCTGCGTTCGCGTGGGTTTCCTTCTGTTTCTTTCTGTACCATCTGCAATGTATTATACAGTATATATACTGTCTATAAAAACATTGTGTTCGGGTATAGAACGTGCTATAAAGAAACCTTTCCCCTTCAGAAGGGACTGGTTGAGCACGGAGCAGACAAAAAACAGCCACAGACAGACAGTATTTTAACTGGTACTGCCTGGTTATTAGATTGCTTAATACAAGTGAAAAAGAAATAAAACAGGAGTAAAGAGATAACCTAATCATAACAATATGTATTGTTAACAATATGCTTGTATTGTATGTTCCTTTTATATTTTTGACTTATGTTTTTGAATGTGGACATAAGAGTCTGTAATAAAAGTAATAATTATACAAATTGGCAAAACATGTGACACATGAAATAAATGGTATAAGAAAAATAAAACATTTGATCAATTAGAAGTAACATTTTAAACAACAAACAAATATACCTTATATTCCACGACTTAATAAAAATAGAATAAAATACTGAAATTAAATTAAAAATAAATAAATATATTAAACATAAAATTAAATAAAAAAAATTACATAAAACAATGAAATAAAATACCAAAATTAAATTAAAAATGATAAAAATATCAAATTAAATCAAATTTAATAAAAAATAAATATAAAACAATGAAAAATAGAAATAATAATAAAATAAAATAAAACAATTGAAAATGTAATAAAATTTAATAAAAATAAAAATTTGGTCTGGAATAGACCTTTTGAAATTGCATGATAATCCAGAAATTGCATAGCCCATGGGAACTCTAAAACCCTCTCTGTAAAAACATTTGACTGTGTTTTGTCCAAAAACTGACTCCAATATTTAGACTTTTGTGCTAGAAACGTATGAAAAATGACACATATTTAACAAAATAATGCTTCAATTGCATTTTGAACAGCAACGTTACAAAAAAAACATATATTGTTGGTTAAACTGTATTCACTTCATTAAAGCTTTGAGGGAATGGCAAATATCCTGTATGTTTTGGGTACTTACATTGGGTCTCAGGCTGGCAGCTTGTCTGTAGTATTTCTCAGCTGCATCATTGAGACTGGCTTGCCTGAAAAAACAAATAAAACATCATGTGTTACTTCATCCTGTCGCACAAGTTTATCGCTTGCCATTAAACCAGGGACTATTTGACTAACATGAAAAGCCCTGCAGATGCCAAACAGGGTTATAAAACTGCCTGACTTTACTACTTTCAGCAGAAGAAAAAAAGTTTCTTCATTTTTAAGGTTGTGACCTACAACCTACTGGATGCTCTTTGATGTTCTTTAACATCTTCACACAAAAATAAATAAATAAATGATTAAAATAAATAAAAATAAATAATAATAATAATAATAATAATAATATATATATATATATATATATATATATATATATATATATATATATATATATACATAAAAACATAAAAATAATTACATTCCTATTGAATACATAATAAAACAAAATATAACAATTAAAAATAAAAGAAAAATAAAATACAACAAAATAAAATAACAAAAATGATAAAATGTAAAATAATAAAATAAAAATAATAAAATAAAAAACATTTGAATACAAATATTAAATAAAAAATAAAATACAACAAAATAAAATAACAAAACTAATAATTTTAATTAAAATTAAAATAATGAAATAAACTAATTTTAAAATTAAATATGAAAAATAAAATAAATAAAATAAAAATAAAGACAATAAAATTTAAATAAAAAATAATAAAATGAAATAACATTTAAATTTAGAAAATACAACTAAATAAAATAACAAAAAATACAATTTAAATTAAAATAATGAAATAAAATAACATTTAAATAAAAATAAAATACAACAAAGTAAAATAACACAAATAATACAATTTAAATTAAATATAAAATCAAAAATAATATTTAAATAAGATATAAAAAATTAAATTCATAAACTAATAAAATAAATAATAAATAACAAAATAACAAAAATAATCACATTTAAAAATTAAATACAAAATAATAAAATAAAATAATATTTTAAAAGAAAAAAAGAAAACAACATAACATAAAACAATACAATATTAAAAATAATAAAATAATTTAAAAGAAAAGAAAATCCATGTAGAAACACCCATGTTTGTCTGCTCCTGCTAGTACAAGCATGTTCTTTTTGAAGAGAATTCAATATGGAGCCAATGACTGTCAGCCAAGACAAACCAAGTTATGATGAAAGAGAGCCACAGAGTCCCTCTGTTTATGATAGATGACTGCTTTTCTTATACTGGCTAGTTTTATAAATCTTACTTCATGTTCAAAAAAAACTCATTGGTGAAAAGAGCTAAGGTTAAACGCTTCAAGAAATTGCCTTTCATAAAGGAAAATATTATGTACTCGAGCAAAGAGATGAGGGATGAATAGTAGGTGTGGAAAACTTTTCAATATCTTAATCTTGAAATGAGCGAGACAGATGAATGAGGGAGATATTAAATGAAGACATAACGTTGATGTATATTTCTGGAGGAAAATTGTACAAGATGTTATGAGTTAAAAAGAAAAAGAATTAAGTGAAATTCTTGTAAAAATTAATCCAGCTCACATCACTTTTTAATCTCATTCTCAACTCCTATTTTTATAATTTTGTTTCCCAATTCTGTTATAGTTACAACAAAAAAAGGCAATAATAAAAATAAAGTGCCGAGTGGGAAATGTATTTGGTCATTGTGAACTCTGAACAGCTAAATATAGTGTTGTCCTTCCCTCAGTACAATGGAAAATGGCACATTTAGGTCAACTTGTTTAGAGAAATATCAGCTTTTATAAAAGTAGGTAACAATGTTCGACTAGAATATCTATACTATAAAAACAAAACAAAAAATAAACTGAGGTTCTGTAATTAAAATGTAATTTTTCATTTATAAGTCTAGTGTCCAGTGATTCTCAGTCAGCTTCTAGAAGGATAGCAGAAGATTTTAATAGGAGAAAAGTTAACTAACTTGCAAAGCTGCTTTGGAAAATATGTATATATATTTCGATTAGTGTTGTTATGATACTGGATTTTGTAACTTTGATATAATACCAAGAAAAATATTAATATTCAATACCATTTTTGATATGTGAGGAAACCACCAAAACTGATCGCAGAGGTTTAGCACTTAAAAATAATATTTAAAAAGTTACATTCAATTCTATGGGATGTCCAATTCCCAACAGTGGATTTGAGCATTCAACCAGAACCATGTGTTGATGTCCACCTTCCACAATTCTGTTTTGCAATCCTTTCCACCCAAACGACGAGCCTGTGTAGTTTCTCATTCACATACACACAATAAAAACATGGCTTATGATAATGACCACAACTGTCTGGAGGGACAATGGCTTTCCTTGTAATCCGCAGTGGGAAAGTGACCACCCTTAACACAGAGTCCAAAACACAGCGGTGTTGAGCCTGGCTTTGGCTCCATGACCACAAATTCAATATATGGTGTAAATCTAAAACACAGCAACAACTCAACCTCCCTATAGGTCAGAGCGAAACCTCCCAAATACAATAAAAGTAATGTTTAAATTCTTGCAACAAAAACTTTTCCTCCGATCCCAACCGCAAGTCTATTCGTTATGTCATTCTGAAGGGGTCACCAGTCTTCAGGGGATACCCATAAAGTAACGCAGAGCTCGTCACTATAATATAATAAGAACTTTAATAGGGTCTTTCTAAACTTCAGGTAAACAGAATAGGTAATCATAATTTTACCAAGGTGAACAATTAATCCAGTGATAATCAGAATTGATTTTAAAGTGCTTTTACTGGTATACACACAGTAAAGTCCATGAACACTTGGACATCGGCACAATTGTAACATTTTGGACTCTATACGCAAAACCCGATGGATTTGAAATTAAACAAACAATGTGCTTTAACTGAAGACTATCAGTTTTAATTTGAGGGTATTTAGATGTGGGAATTACAACAGTTTGCATATGTGCCTCCCACTTGTTAAGGGACCAAAAGTAATTGAAAAGAACAATATTCATAAATCAAACTTTCACTTTTTAATACTTAGTTTAGGTAGTCTGGAACACATAGACGGCACCAGATGCTGGGTTTCATTCCTAGTGGTGCTCTGCCAGGAGTCATCAGCAACTATCTTCAGTTCTTGCTTGTTCTTGGGGCATTTTTCCTTCTGTTTTGTCTTCAGCAAGTGAAATGCGTGCTCAATCAGATTCAGGTTAGGGAATGGACTTGGCTATTGCATAACATTCCACTTCTTTCCCTTCAAAAACTCTTTGGTTGCTTTGACAGTATGCTTTGGGTCATTCTCCATCTACACTGTAAAGCACTGCCTAAAGTTCTGAAGCATTTGGCTTAATAAGAGCTGATAATAATACCAGAAACTCTTCAGAATTAATCCTGCTGCTTTTCTTAGCAGTCACATCATCAATAAATACAAGAGAGCCAGTTCCATTGACAGCCATACATGCCCATGCCATAACGCTACCACCACCATGCTTCACTGCTTAGCATCATGAGCAGTTCCTTTCCTTCTCCATACTCTTCTCTTTCCATCCCTCTGGTACAAAGTGATCTTGATTTCATCTGTCCATAGGATTTTGTTCCAGCACTGCGAAGGCTTTTTTAGAACTCTAATCAGGCCTTCATGTTTTTGAGGCTTACCAATGGTTTACATCTTGTGGTTAACCCTCTGTATTCACTCTGGTGTAGTCCTCTCTGCATTGTTGATTGTGACACACATACACCTACCTCCTAGATAGTGTTTTTGATCGGTCCAATTGTTGTGAAGGGTTTTTGCTTCACCAGTGAAAGAATTCTTTGGTCATCCACCACATTTGTTTTCGTGGTCTTCCAGCTCTTTTGGTGTTGCTGAGCTCACTGGAGCATCCTTTCTTTTTAAGAATGTTCCCAACAGTTTTTTGGCCGTGCCCAGTATATTTGCTATCTCACTAATGGGTTTGTTTTGTTTTTTTCAGCCTAATGATGACTTGCTTGACTGAGTGACAGCTCTTTGGATTCGATCTTTAGAGTTGACAGAAACCATGTCACAGACAGATTCCATGACAGATTCCAAATGCAAATAGCACACTTGAAATGAACTCTGGACCTTTTATCTGCTAGTTGTAATTGGGATGTTGAGGGAATAACACACACCATGGAACAGCTTAGAAGCTAACCGTCTGACTACTTTTGGTCCCTTAACAAGTGGGAGGCACATTTGCAAACTGTTGTAATTCCTACACCGTTCGCCTGAGTTGAATGTAAATACCCTCAAATTAAAGCTGACAGTCTGCAGTTAAAGCACATCTTGTTTGTTTAATTTCAAATCCATTGTGTTGGTGTATAGAGCCAAAAATGTTAGAATTGTGTCAGTGTCCAAATATTTATAGACCTAACTGTAACTCCCTTCATAATCTAGCCCCAAATTATCTCTGAGAGCTGTTTATTTTTACATTCTCGTAAGATACAATGACTTTCAAATTTAATACTAGTGTCTTGAAAAATATCTAGTAAACCATTATGTACAGTCATCATGTCAAAGATAAAATAAATCAAGATATTATTTATTATAACTATTATATTTTGAAATGTGTCTATAATATTCATTTTGTTACACAGGAATTGAGAGAAAAAATATACATATTATAAAAATATTATACTAATAATTTAAAAGGCTAATAATTCTGACTCCAACTGCAGTTTCTTCCTCAGTGTGCCATGGCGACACAGTTTGGTCGACGTTTCAAATAACCCAGTGGTTGTTTGAAGAGTGCAGCAAAACTGATACGGAGGAAGCAAAGTTGTCGGAGCAGACGGGCCCTTGAGAGCTGTAAGAAAAACGCCACACATCTGAAGCCTCCCCACTTGAATTCAGCCCCCATCTGAGACCATTCTGCAAGTCCATCCAAGACAAACACAGCAGGAACCCGATCTTCAAATGAGGACCGCAAGCCCAGCACGAAAGCAGAGGACGCGGCCTGAGACTGCAATTAACAACACAGTGTTCTTGTAGAATAAAGCGCCGTGCAAAAATCTGCTGTAGGGTTGGAATACTTTTTTTTAGGAAACGTGTAACAGTATACCATGTGAAATCCATGTAGTAATTATAAAGAAGTGTATTGAATAGAAAGCTTGAGGCAAAGGAATTAATGCAGGATTTCCATTACATGTCCTGCGGTGAATGGCAATAGAAAGAAAGCATCCATACAAAAGGGCAGGAGGAAAGAGTGAGAGAAAGAGAAAGGGTGAAAGAGATAGAAAAACATCCTCAAGTGCAGCGGTTCTCAATTGGTTCAGCTTCATCATACAGACTTTATACTGGACATCAAACATTGGCAAACCAACACCGTTCCAGAATTGTTCACAGTTTAGTTTTTAACTGAAATTAGTTCTCTGTTTTATTTTTGTTACAATATTAAAAAGAAAGTGGATTTGCAATTTGGATTTTGCTCTCAATTTAACTCAAATAAGTATCAAAGATATCTTTTTTAGATCTTGGTTTATAGACTGCTGGTACTCAGACCATTTTGAGGGATGTAAACAAGACACGTATGGTCCTAACATATTTCCTGTTTTACATTTTTAATTTCCACAGCTTCCGAGAATCCAAAAATCTCCACATATTGATAATGTTATCAAACCTGTTTTAACGTCAAGTTATGATTGAATTGCCTCTTGTTACAGTTAGTAATTAGTTTCACAACAAGCAGGAAAAGTTCATGGACCAATGACATCAACACATTGAAATGGTCTATAACACAAATAATGTTCATTTTTATTTATGCTTGTCTTTAGAAAAAAAATAATTGAACAAAACTTAATATTTTTGAAAGAAAGTTTTGGTTGATCTGACATGGACTGTCATTTTCAGCAATAAGTACACAGCAATTTTAATAAGTTAATCAGGTTTTAACTAATTTTTTTTGTTATACACAGTTTAACTTAAAAGTGTAGCCAGTTTGATTGCTGTAAGTTGAGATGGCTAGAAAAGTTCATTTGATAAAACAAAACAAAAAAATAAACAAATAAAATAGGCAACAATAATTTATTTTTACAGTGTATAAACTTTGTGAAGGCCTGAGAGAGACTTGTTTGAAGGTTTTGGAGTGGGATTATCTGCCAAATGCACTTATTTTGTCTGTTTTCAAATGAATCATGGGTCCATTTCCTGCGAAGTCAAGTCAAGTATATATATATAGATCAATTTTGGTCTTTAAATATATTTGATGTTCTCTAAAAACGTTGTCTGCTTCTCTATAGTCAAATTTTTGGGTTGCTCGCTATCAGTTGAAAACCAATATGGCTTATGCTTGCTACAGGAAACATTTATGATTCATCTAGGAATATGGCTACCTAATTATAGTTAAAAATAAATAAATAAACAAAATAATCTTCTAAAAAGTTATCTGCTGCTCTCTATAGTTGCACTTTTTTGGGTTGCACACTACCAGTTGAGAACCAATATGGCTTCAGTTTGCTACTGGAAACATGTATGCTTCATTTAGAAATTTGGCTACTTATTTAGAGCAACAAAATAAATAAATAAATTTTAATCTGCTTAAAAAAAGTTATCTGCTGCTCTCTATGGTCACATTTTTGGGTTGCAAACTACCAGTTTAGATCAGTATGGCTTCAGTTTGCTACAGGAAACATTTAGGCTTCATCTAGAAATGTGGCTACTTAATTAAAGCAACAAAATAAATAAATACATTTTAATATGCTGAAAAAGTAATCCGCTCCTCTATTAACCTTATTCTTCGTGTATGAGCGGGCACAGCCATTTGAATCTTTTTGGCTCGAGACTTCCGGTCTCATTCAATTCCATTAACTTTTAGAAGTTAGAAGTTTAGAAGCTGCTTGATTTTGCAAACTGATATTTTTTATTATATTAATCTGTTTTGTCTGTATTGTCATGAACACACTTGTTTGTAGAGCAAGCAGTTTGACGTTTTTTTTTTTTGCCGTTAATTATTCGCAGTCATTTTTACCATAGGTACCTCAATCGGAAGTTCTAAAACAATCACAAAAACAAGCACACTTTCGCATTGAAGAATAAGGTCAATAGTCACATTTTTGTGTTGCAAACTACCTGTTAAGAACCAATATGGCTGCTGTTTGCTACATGAAACATTTATGCCTCATATAGAAATATGGCTATTTAATTATAGTAAAAAAAAAAAAAAAAAAAAAAAAAACACATTCTTGCATGTCCTCCTCACCTGAGCATGTGAGCTGCACTGAAAACCACATCAAATTCTTCAGTGTCCAGCTGCGCGGCTTTCTCTGCCATTTCAGCGGCCTCTAAAAGCCGCGATTCCTCCAGCAAAAACTGACCTAGGGAGGCAAAAGGGGGGAAATTTCATTTTATATTTGCTTTTACTCCCTCGGTAAGACAAATGTGAAATATTTCCCTTGGCTGTAGGACGGATAGTTTGGTCTGCCCTCTCCATGATTCTGTGAAACACGAGACAGCAAGGGTGCTGTACGCTGCGCGAACCATCTGACAGACCATTTGTCCAATTGAGATTTCTCCGATAGGCATGTTTCCGTGACAAATTAAATGCTTACTCCTGTAAGGTTGCGGAAAGAGAGACCGACTGGGATCTGAAACCTCTGCAGTTACTTTGCTAGAGGCATCGGTCAAGACTGAAGTGGAAGAAACAGCTTGTTGCTATTTGGCGAAACGGTTGCGCAAACTTCTTTTTTTTTTCTCCAATAAAGTGGTTTAAAGTGCAGTTCCTAAAGTGTTTTTTCAATTAATTGTCCTCATTAGGGTGTTAAAAAGGTAAAACATAAAAGAAATGCAAGTTAAAACAACTTTTTCATCAATATTTTCAGACTATTTTGTTGTGACTGAAATGTAAAGTTATGAAAGTGCAGCTGGTTCAACTTTTAAGAGTTTGAGTCCATTTTACTGTGATTGAAATTGGTTGATGATGAAAAAAAATAAAGTGCCTTAAAAAGTGCAGTTCAACAAGTATTTTTGCAAGTGCAGTTTTGCAAGTATTTTTCCAATTAATTTCCTCTTTTTAGGGTGTTAAAAAGAAAATTGTAAGAGTCTTGTAAAAAAAATGCAAGCTGAAACTACTTTTTTCACTATTATTTTCAGTCTAATGTGTTGTGACTGAAATGGAAATGCTGTTAAAAGTGCAGCTAAATCATCTCTTTAGAGTTTTAGTCCATTTTGCTGTGATTGAAATTGGTTAATGACAGAAAAAAATGCATAATCCAGAAGCAATTATTTTGATGTTTTTTTTTGTTAAAATATTTAATATTATGTTCTGTCACAATTTCTGTCATGAAGCAAATCTGTAAAACTTGTAACAAAGCAAATAATTACAGTATCTTTCTCCCTGTGGTAAATGACAGTGGCCTTAACCATGCTAAATGGAAAAGAGGATGAATAATTCTCGTTTCTCCAGTGCAGTGGTTGTGCACCACAGAACAATAGAAGGAAATACAAGATCATCCTTATGGCCTCTGGATAGTACATGTTCTGAAGATGTCTGATCAGACACGTACTAAATTATATTACGCAGATGCCTTGGCAGCGTTTGACTGGAAAACAGATTGTTGGGGTTAGGCAGTGATGCAGTATTTCTGGACTGAATCCATACCTGAAAACGTCTAGGGAACAGGTCAACTTTGAAAATTTAGGATCTGAGAAAAAATAAAGTAAAATAAAATAATATAAAATAAAATAACTAATGACAGGAAGCAGAATCCTATTAAATACTATTAATTTAAAAACACAAAACATGCATATAAATATTACTATTATTAATTGCTATTTTAACTGAAAATATATAAAAACAGAAACAGTATGAATACAAAATTGAGTGACAGAATGATAAAGGTTTTAATGATAAGAAACCATTTTAAGATGTTTCAAAATTGTGGATGTCATATTTTAAAGTTTGACAGTTAATGTTTGCCATTTTTCATAGGGTGAATAAAAATGATGATTCAACAGACATTTGTTAAAGACCAAGAAAACCAGTGTCCAAAGCCACAGGTTTGAAAAAGCTAAATTAAACCTTTTTCTTACAATTTCAAGATTATATTCAACCTTTTTCTCACAATTTTGAGATTTTGAGACATAAAATTCATAATAAGATCAAAGTGGAATAGGATCAAATGAACAGAGAAAAAAAACTACAGTATTTTAGGTATTATATATAGTGCAATTCTAACATTTCCCCCCTTAGAATTGCGAGAAACTTTTTCAGTATTGAGGTTATGAATATTCAAAATCTCAAGAAGTTAATACACAATTGCAAAAAACAAAATAAAATCTTTTGCATAAACAAGCCAAGTCAAAATAAAAAAAAGTGGTAAAAACTATTTCAGGGACAATCCCTGGAAAGTAAAAAGAGCTCTTATAAATAAACTTTAAATTGTACAAAATGGCTGTAGGCTATAATTTAACTAAAATCACATTCACGAGGACACACATGAAAGCTCGGCAGTTTTCCTTGGAGAAATAAGGTTTTATTCTCTCTCTGTCTGCTCGCTGAGGCGTGGGTGGCTTGGTCTCACAGGAATAACATCTGTATACCAGGTACGCTTCAGATAACAAAGAAACAATGACTCCCTGCACGACACCATCCATCTTACTGCGAAACGGCCTACAAACGCAACCTCAATTACAAGACTAACGTCAGCTAAAGAGCTAAATGAGAACAATTATGGCCAATGTGAAACCTTACAAGGCTCTGTAAAAAAGGGTTTCTTTATTTTTTGTTTAACCATTTAAACGGTTTGCTTAAAATATTAACAAAACAAAAATCTGTGCTCTAGTTATGTAAATATATATTTAAATGTGTGCATAATTATTGGCAGCCCTATGAATTTACATTAATAAAACATTTTTGAAGTTTATTCCCAATGATATTCCATTTTTTTGTACACTTGTATGACTAGAAACCAGTGATGGGAATAAGGGTGTTATAAATAAACATCATTACTAACTGACTTTTTTCAGTAAGTAGTATTCAAATAAACGACTGCTTCCTCATTACAATGCTATTATCATAACTGACAATAAATGTGACACTATATAATTGATATAGATTGCAACTGAGCTCCCTGACACGGCTTTCATCTGATTCTGTCTGCTCTGGTGTCTGTGAATGGAGCACATAACTGATGAATATTGCCAGGTGTGTAGGGGTGGGACAACCACATAACTGATGATTGGCTAAAAACACAGGTGGTGCTTTCAAAGGGGTAGATGAAGCCAATGCATTAAAGCAACTAAAGCTAGTTCAGTATTGTTCTGACACATAGAAATGATCAACAGTAGTCACTCATGTAAGCATATTTTGATGAAGTACTTTACAATCACATTTCTATATCCTCAGCTTGCCGTGAATGAAGGCAGGATCTGAACATACAGTGTCAGTGTGAAAGAGTGTGGACTATGCAGTGATAATGGTAGATGCTAAAGCAATTTACTATAGTTTTACCTTGATTAAAACCTGAATGAACATTTTGCTTAAAGAAACAGGCTGTAATATTCTATTTAATAGCCATCTTTTGTATTTCAACTGCAAAAAGTATTCTGTTAGTTTAATATAAATATAAAAATAATAACGTTACTGTACTATTTATCCTCTTTTTTGTTACATTTCTCAATAAGCATCATTTATTTTTAGACATGTTATCTGGCCAGATGTGGTAAACATTAAACATTCTAAACCATCTATTATGTTTTATTGTTCCACTATAAAAATGATAATATTTACAATAAAATATTACATTTGGTAGGTGTCTCTCACATTGTCATAGAAATGGCATTATAGAATAGAAAATATTGTTTTATAATAATAATTTATTTAGTTTAGTGCACATTTATTCAACATACACTTCATAAACTTTTTGACAATAGTAAAAGTAATGCAATGGTTACTCTCCCTGGTTATTAGTTACTTTTCTAATGATGTAACTCAGTTAATTCATTATTATTTGTGAAAAGTAACTAGTAACTAATTACTTTTTTTTAACTAACATGCCCAAAACTGCTAAAAACACATTTATATCACATTTAATATCTAAAATAATGTCTATCAATATGAGGATTGAAACCAAAGTCTCTTTTAGGCAAGTAATTTCACTCAATGGCCATCTTTGTATGCTCGGGCATTCTGTTTGAAAGGGGAAACATCAATTTCTTTCAAACTGTTTGCCAAGCTTATGATTACATTACATATTTGGAATCATCAATAAAATTAAACAACAACTGTCTCTTTAGTTTCGTTTATAAATGACCGAATCAAACAAAATGACTCAATGAATCAACTGCATGTTTTGAGGTTGCCTGAGCTTATGCGCACTCTAAAACAACGAGATCACGACACCAACCTCATTCATGGACGTTCTACATATTATCATCCTCTGGATAATGATCGTCTGATCACGCTGCTCATCTGAAGTAATCCACAACTTGGTTTTGATGGTGAATCTCCACCAGAAATCAAAGTGACTTTTTGTTTCCAAGTTTGTGGGCGTCTGAGTAGTTACTGTCATGAGATGTGCGTTTGACAACATGGACTATACCTCTTGTTCGTTTCATACTAATTACAGATTTAAAAAAACAGTGCACTTGGTTTATTTAAAAGTAGAGCTTTCAAGCTTTATTTGGACATATTTCTTATGTCTGTAAAACAATTATTCTCTGAGATACCAGTGTGTTTGTTGACCACCAAACTGTCGTATAAGCACACGTCTGTTTCGAGCTTTTACCCACAGAAATATCAGTCTATATCGATTACTGATCGGCTCCAGTACTAGTATGCAGGGCTTCATTCTCCATATCTATCGTTGCACTTTTCCCCATTCAAAATTACACGAGTGAAATGTCTCGTGTATACTTTAGTCTTTAATTTGAAACTCACTCTGTCATTCACTACAAATAGGTAAGATCAAAAAGAAGCCTGTGATTTTGCAGGAAAAGCTTGTTGAGCTTCACAAAATGGGTATTGGCTATAAGAAAAACAGCAAAACTAAAAACGCAGGACAATAATGAAGCAATTCCAAATTCCTCGGTGTTATGAATCAGCCAGGAAGAGGATCTTTGTCTATCTTTATCACTGTTAGGAGGACAGTTTGAGTGACCCAGTAACCTCCAAGAATTACAGCTGGAGAATTACAAAAGTTAGTCAGGTTTTAGGGTCAGAAAGTCTCCAGATCTACAATTTGAACTAAATTACCACAACATTTTGAAATGGTAAAAAAGAAGCAATTTCTAATATCAGAAAAACAAATCCAAGCATCTTATTTTTTTGTTAATATTTTGAGCAGTAGGACAAAAAGTTGAACAATAAAAAATAAAAACATCCATAGCCTTTTTTAGTGGAGCACACTGTATTTCAGTAAAGCCTATGTGTGGATTCATATGACCTCATTCTTTCATATGTATTAGCTCATTTTATATGTAGCGCATGTTTTGGAGAGATAAAATAAAGCATTACTAACCATAATGCATGTAGCAGTTTCCTTTAGTAGGGTCCAGCTCAATCGCCTTGAGAAAGAACTTCTCTGCTTCCGTTTTTTGACCCTGAAATGAAAACAAACACGGCGTATAAGGAATCTCTTCAGGGTGAGGTTTTCACGGAATCTTTCATTTTTCATTTCTGACCTTTGACCTGATGTATAATGTTCACTGGAGCAGCAGGAAATGCGTTCAGGAATTCCAGTGCCTTATGCTGCTATAATTGCACAGTTGGACTGCATGAATAACTCCATGAGGTTTTCCTTGTGTTCACTTTAAAAATTTAACAGGGCTCTGGCACAAACATCGAAAACATTTTTGCACTATAGCCTTATAGCACAAACTAAAATAGGATTTTTTTTTTATTGCAATGAGATTTGCATGGAATTTAGTTCTTATATACAGCTACTTACATGCAAGAATAAATAGACATATTTCAGTAATTAAGAGTAATAATTACAAGAACAGAAATGTGGTATTGTATTGAATATATTAAGTTTATTTGTTATTATTTTAACCCTTTCAAGCATATTAATTAGGCAAGCATTTTTTATAGTGAAACAAAAAAAAAAATATATATATATATATATATTTTCCAGCAAAATATTGCAATACAAAATATATAAATGATTACTGAAGGATCATGAGATACTGAAAATTCAGGTTTGAATCGGTAATAATTACACTTAAAAATATGTTTAAAACAGAGTATATACTGTAGTCCATTTTTAACTGAAGTAATATTAGAACTACTACTGTTTTGATTGTAATTTTGTACACATAATGCAGCCTTGGTGAGTAGATGAAACTTCTTAAAAAGAAAACATTAACAACTCCTAACTTTTGTGACTTTTTGCTTGGTAGTGCATATAATGAAAAAAAAAAAGAAAAGAAAAAAAATCTCGATACAAATCATTTTGGCTGTGGTCTGAGAGGCATTATCAAACCCATGATTCACCTGATTAACCATGCATGCCGTTATCTGTAGGCCAGCTGCAAAAAGTGATATATTTGTATTTATTCTTCATAATTTAAATCCCCAGCGCAGCGAAGTGTAACTTTAAATCAATGCATTGCACTCACAGAGATGCCTACAATATACCAAGACAGTGCTGTTTAATGTTAGACATGGATGTTTGTGAACTTACACCATGTCGAGACTGTGAAAGAAATAAAGAAAGCTGTCTCATGGGACACTTGACCTGCATAATCTATGCAAAGGGGAGTAAAGGGTCAGATAAAGGGGTTTCTAAAAAAAAAGTGCTTAATGCTTTTGAAAAAAAATCTCGTATATGCACGAGGACAGCATTTGATAAAAAATACAGCGGAAAAAATATGTATTTTTCTGAATTATTACAAGTTTAAATAAGAGTTATAACCGTTATATTCATTATGTTGAATTTCAGTATTCAAGCAGATTTTTTCGCATCATTACTCCAATATTCAAAGCCAAATTACTTTCTGAAATCATTTTAATAGTTGTGTACTGTAATAATTGTGCTGCTATCATTTCTGTGACAGGATTCTTTGATGAACAGAAATTTTTTTTTAAAGCTAAATTATTTTTCAGTGGTTACTGCTTTTTTTCAATCAGTTTTTGCTTAAATAAATAAATAAATCTCACTAACACTAAATTTTATTAAACTTAACCTTTTGATTTTGATTTGCTCCTTGTTTACAATTTATTATTATTATCATTATTATTATTATTATTATAATTATTATTATAATTATTATATCAAATATAGATTTAGCACAGTGATAAGCTTTAAGTTCCTGACAAAACACGTCTCAGTGTCTTCCGCTGAGGTTGTGTCATCACTCTAAAGCAATATCCTGCTTCACCCCCTTTCCTCTGAACACACACACATACACATGCCTGTGCCGCACCCCCAACCCCATAATCTGAGCATGACATCAGAGAGACAACAGACACACTGCTGTTCCGACGTCTCTGAGGTGTTCGAGAGCCGATTCTGAGCCTGATTAATGGCGGAAATGAGAGAATTCAATAACGCAGCTGAAAAACTCCATCACACAACACATGTCTATGTTAATAAGAGGGACATCACTCTACTATGGCCAAGAGGGGACCAAGGTTTTTGTAATTCTGAGGAAAATAAATGACATTAAAAAGAGTAAAAAAAAAAAAAAAAAAAAAAAATATATATATATATATATATATATATATATATATATATATATATATTTAAAAACTGTTTTTTTAATGTAATTTTAATTTCTTCAGTATTTTGATTGATTATATATATATATATATATATATATATATATATATATATATATATATATATATATATATATATATAAATAGAAAATTATCGACTGTCAGTAGGATTTTTAAAATGTTTTAAAAAAGCTTATCCTGCTCACCAAGGCTGCATTTATTTAATCAAAAATACAGTAAAAATTTTGAAACTGAGTAATCTTCTTGCAATTTAATTTAATAATTTATTCCAGTGATTTTAATGATAAATTTTCGACTTCATTACTCCAGTCTTCAGTCTCATGATCCTTCAGAAATCCCTCTAATATTAACTCTAAATAATATTATTATTATTATTATTATTACTAATGATAATAGTAATAAAATCGATAATAATTTCACTTGAAACTACATACAATAAGTAATAGATGAATATTTAATAAACAAATATTTAACAATTCAACAACTTTTTTTACATCTAATAAATGCTGCCTTGATGAATAGAATAAATTTCTTATCAAAAAAACGTGAATCAAAACATGACCCCAATCTTTTGACCTGTATATGAAAATAATAAATTAATAAATTGCACAACAAAACATGCAAAGTAGGGACCTGTAACTCTGAGTGTACACAAACATACACTAAAACATGCATGCATGCACGCATGCGCACAAAAAGTCAGTTTTTTCAGGCTCTGTGACCCTGTGAGTTTGTGAAAGAGGTCAGAAAAGGTCAAGGAAGGTCAGCACAGCAGGGGAAAGGACTGAGTTTAATCATGTCTCTGTCCTTCGACCCCTGACCGAGAAGATTTCCCTGTTCCCCACCTGGAAATGATGTGCGCACAATGTGACGCTGACAAGATAAACTCTTCCTTATTGCTCATTTCTCATAGTAATGATGTTTTCACACTGTATAAGTATCCGTTATTTGTAGTTTATGCTTTTTATGGTTTAAAAAAAAAAAATCTCTGCGCTGAGAACTTTTGATGTTGGTTTTTGATTTAAATTTTATGTAATTTTAAACTACGCTGTAAAAAAAAAGTTGACTCAATTTGTAAGGCAACTTGCTGTAGAGCTTTTTAAGTTGACACAACTTGAATCGAGTCAAGTGCAGTACTTGGGTTAAAAGTAGAGTCAACTCAAAAAAGCTTTGCAGCATGTTTTAATAATAATAATAATAATAATAATAATAATAATAATAATAATAATAATAATAATAATGATGATGATGATGATAACAACAACAATAATAACAATAACAATAACAATAATAATAATAAATATTAAATTGTAATATTAAGTCAGAAAAAAAATCAACTTTTTTCCAGAGTATATATGGTATGTCTGGATTGGCCATGTAAACAGAATATGGTGTAGAGGGCGGAGATTTCGTTTTGGGCAACATTCCCAAGCAGCATAATATCAGTAAGAGGAGCGTGGTTAAGTATATTGTGGCTGACTCCATCAATCCATTATCAAAAGATAAGGACAGCCACCACAAACTCAGAACTCTCAGATTAAATGACCACCTAAAGAATAACAGTATGCGCTAGCCAAATAAACATTATGAATTTTAATTTTAAACACATGTAAAACATTTAAGGACAGTTATGTCTAATTTGTAAAACGTGATAATGCATATCAATATATAGACTTCAGCAGATGATTTTGCCAAACTAACACATTACAGCATGACACGCAATGCTAACTAACAATGCTTAGAAATAACCAATAAGTAAATACCTGTAATACTTTTACACTATTATTTCAACAACAATAGTGGGATTTCAAGAAATAATTTTAAATAAATGATGACATGTTGACCATTTCAAAATGGCAGATATGTCAACATGTCTGAAGCAGCTGAATATGGTATTTACATTTACTTATCTACAGTTTTAAGCACCTTGAGTGGAACCAACAAACAAATCCTCATCCATTCAAGTTTGCTGAAGGTCATTAAAGTGATCAAATCACTGCCCAAGTCCTCTTTACCCCTGAGGAGCTTTATTTTCACACCCAAAGGATTATGGAAACCCATGTTTTACTCTGTTTCTGCATTAAGCAAGCAGAAACCGCAAAGCACCTGAGAGCTTTGAGCGAAAACTTTGTTCAAAATCAATACGGCTCTGAAGTTGAGAAAACAGCTTTTGAATTTGGTTTCCACTGGAGTGAGTTTCATCACAGCGGCGCGGATATATGATGGATCGACTTTGTCTCTGGTGGACTGACTCGTTTTGGCCTCTCCAAATGGCTTCATTCAGGATGCTTGTGTAGTTTACTTGTTTTCTTTGGTTGCGGGGTGACTCCCTCGATTGGGATTTTTGAGGACAGCCTGTCTTGGGGTTTTAGATGACTGAGAGAGAAAGAGAAAGATGGAGAAAAACAGAGGCAGCATCCTTTCATCTCAAAGCATTTACTACCTGCTGCGTGAAATGAAGAAACTGAAAGAAATTAAATTTAAAGTTAATCTAAACCATTCTAAAATAATAATGATTTGATAAAAATATTACACAGTTTGTGTTACTTGCACCAGCGTTTAGGAACATTATTAGTGTCTAAAAAAAACAATACAGTTCATTTTTTCGTATGAAATAATAATAAAAAAGCTAATACTAAATCTACTTTTACAAGTACAAGTACAAGTACAACAACATCAACTATTACCACTATTACAAGTACTACAAGTACAGCAACAACAATTTTTACTGCTTCTGCTAAAACAACAACAACTACTACTACAACAACATGTACAACTACTACATTCACAACAACAACTACTACAGGTACAACTACTACATTTACAACAACAACTACTAGCTACAACCACTACTACAACTTCAACAACAACTACTACAAGTCAACTACTACAATTACAGCTACAACTACTAAAGCTACAACAACAACAACTACTAATACAAGTACTACAGTTACAACTACAACAACTTCAACAATAACAACAATTACTACTCCAAATATTACAGTTACAACAACAGCAACTACTACTGCTACAACAACTACAACAAGTACAACTACTACATTTACAACAACAACAACAACAACAACAACTACTACTATTACTACAACTACTGCTACAACAACTACTAGTTACAACCACTACTACAACTTCAACAACTACTGCAGGTACAACTACTAGTTACAACTACTACAACAACTAGAACTACTACTACTACAACAACTACTAAAGCTACAACTACTACTACAAGTATAAAACTACAACAAATTCAACAACAACTACTACTGCCACAACAACTACAACTACTACTGCTACAACAATTACTACTAGTAAAACAACTACCAGTTACAACCACTACGACAGCTTCAACAACAACAACTACAACAAGTTACAAATACTACAACTAGTGCTATTATTAATATAACTACTACTACTACTACTACTAAAACTACAACTATTACTACAACAACAACTACTACAAGTACAACTATTACAGTTACAACTACAACTTCAACAACTAATACTACTACAAATACTACAGATACAACAGCTACTTCTACTACTACAACTAGAACTACTAAAGCTACAAGTACAACTACTACTGTTACAACAACAACAACAACAACAACTACTACTACTACTACTACTACTACTACTACTAAAATTACAACTACTACTACTAAGACTTAAAACACATCTGTTTCGCTGTGTCTTTACTGAATGAGCACTGTGCATAGTCCAACAGATTTTTTTCTTTCATTCTTTTATAACCTGTTTAAACACATTTTAATATGATTTGAATCACTTTTATTATCTGTTTTGATTTTCTTATACCTGTCTCTTATAATTTTAATTCAATTTTTATTTATGTCCTTTATATGTAAAGCAATTTGAATTGCCACTGTGTATGAAATGTGCTATATAAATAAACTTATCTACGCCAATTCTGATGTGTGTACAAATTTTTGTGAGTTTTTACATGTTTAGACCATGATAAATGTGATTCATTCTGCAATAATAATAATAATTATTATTAATAAATACAGTTGTCTGAATATTATTCTACTATCAGAACATTATAAATATGTTCTGAACCTTGAAGAATTTCCAACAGTACAAATATGAAAATCACTTTTTTTCTTTTAAACACATACGCAGACAATTCATTCACAACAAAATAAGGAAACTAAACTATGTCAATTTAGCCTTTAAACTATATTCCTGATTAGCATGGAGTCCATCACATTCCTCCTTTGATTTTCTTGTCACGCTAGATTAAAAGTAAAGCTCAGAACAATTCCTCTTTTACTGTCTCTGCTGAACTTTAGAGATGGTAATTGAAGACAGTCTGTATTTTCTTTAATCAGCTGCTGGTGGCCTGTGGGTGAAGCAGGCCTGAAGACCACCATATGGCCACAATGGAAATAAAAGGAGACAGACACAGGTAAACCCGAGACGATCTGCTCGGCCGTTTCCAACACATCTTCTCTCATATCTGTCCACACGGATTTCAGCTGAGCGAATTCAGACGCAGGGCATACGTGCGAGAAATCCGCTCTTCAGTTCTAGCAGCTTCACTTTTTCAGTTTTGAGTTTCAAGATCAGAGAGAAAGCGAGAATGCGTCTGGTCTTAAGGGACTTCTGCTCGCTTTAGATTTATGGATAAAAACGGTTTCTTTATATAATGGTCTCCTGTCTTAGGCAGAAAGCCAATGTGTGCTCATGCTTCATTATGACTAAAGGGTATTTAACGGACAAAAAGTGGTTTGTCTAGCAGGCATGGATGTTTACCGAGCTACTAATTGGTCATTTAGGGTGTGTTCACACTTGGCAGGTTTGGTTTAATTAAAACAAACTCTTGTGCTTGCTCTGTTAGTGTGGTTCATTTAAAAAATGCTTAAACCCTGTGTGCACCAAACAAGCAGGCTAAGAACTAAGAGTAAGAAAGAAAGATTTATCTATCTATCTATCTATCTATCTATCTATCTATCTATCTATCTATCTATCTATCTATCTATCTATCTATCTATCTATCTATCTATCTATCTATCTATCTATCTATCTATCTATCTATCTATCTATCTATCTATCTATCTATCTATCTATCTATAAAATACATTCAAGTGTTTTTTGGGATTTTACAATGTGGTCAACAGTAATTTATGAAAGAAAGCTCTTCTGTCATCTTTTGGATGAACAATCAGCAATTTGATAGTCTGTTGACTTATTAAAACTTATATACCTGCAAATGCATACATTAAAATGATAAAAAGTGACAGTAAAGATATAGCCTTAACTGTCAGGCATACACATACATACATATATACAGTAGAAACCAGAAGTTTACATATACTGTATAAAAACGCACATAACCATTTAAAAAAAGTCAGATGTTATGCGACTAAACTTTTTCTCTTTTAGGTAAGTTAGGATTATCAAATTTGTTTCTGTTATGCTTAATAGCAGAATATTGAAAGAGATATTTTTGAGAAATTGTTATAACTTTTCTTGAAAGTCAAGTTTACATACAATAAGAATATTATGCATCTGAAAAAGCTCAGATGATGATGTCAAGGTTTTGGAAGTTTCTCATTGGCTAATTGACAACATTTGAGTTAATTGGAGGCACAAATTTAGACTAGTATTTAAGGAAAACCTCAAACACACTGCTTCCTTGTGTGACAACATGAGAAAATCAACAAGCCAGAATAAAAAAAAATCAGATTACAATTTGCTAAATTACACTGGGAAAAATAATAATTTTTGAAGACATGTCCTGTGGTCTGATGGAACTAAGATGGAACTGTTTGGCCATAATGACCAGAGTTACATTTGGAGGAAAAAGGGAAAGCTTACAAGCCTAGCAACACCATTCTAAATATAAAATATTAGGGTGGCAGCATCATGTTGTGGGGCTGTTTTGCTGCAGGAGGGACTGGTCTACTTCACAGCATAGATGGCATCATGAAGAAAGAACATTATGTAGAAATACTGAAGCAACATCTCAAGATATCAGCCAGGAAACTAAAGCTTGGCCACAAATGGGTCTTCCAAACAGACAATGACCCTAAGCATACTGCCAAATTAGTTACAATGTGCTTTAAGGACAACAGAGTGAATGTTTTGGAGTGGCCATCACAAAGCCCTGATCACAATCCTATAGAAAATTTGTGGGCAGAGTTGAAAAGCTTGTGCGAGCAAGACGGCCAACAAATCTAACTCAGTTGCACCAATTCTGTCAGGAAGAATGGGCCAAAATTCCTTCAAACTATTGTGAGAGGCTTGTGGAAGGATACCCAAAACATTTGACCAAAGTTATACAGTTCAAGAGCAAAGCTAAAAAAAAATACCAAGAAAATGTGTGTAAACTTTTGACTGTCCAGAAATTGATAAAAAATTCTCCCCAAAAAAATACATCTTCCATAAAAATGCACTTTGGACCAGATATTTGCGACTTTAGATTAGCAAATATATATGTGTGTGTGTGTGTATATATATATATATATATTGTGTGTATATATATATATATATATATATATATATATATATATATATATATATATATATATAATTAGTAATATTGCTAAGCATTTAATCTGAATAGCTTTAAAGGTAATTTACTCAATATTTATATTTCTTAACTCTCACAGATTACAGTAATTTAAAAAACTGTATGTAGAGCCATCATCATCCTACAAGTCAAGCTGGTGCATTTAGCTTTCAGTACTGCAAGTCAAATGTTTTAGAACAGGGGTCACCAAACTTATTCCTGGAGGGCCGGTGTCCTGCAGATTTTAGCTCCAACCCTAATTAAACACACCTGAACAAGCTAATCAAGGTCTTACTAGATATACTTGAAACACAGTGTATTGAGGCAAGTTAGAGCTAAAACCTGCAGGGACCCCTGTTTTAGAACAACACAAAGGATGTTAAATAATGATTTCATTTTCAGCAAGGTTTTGAGCAAGGCAAAGTTCCTGGATTTTATTTCCCAAGGTTCAAACTGGCAAACCTCTGTCTAAATATTTATAGCTAAACAACTCAAGCGCTTTTTCTTTCAGTGTGGGTTATTGTGTTTGTTTACCGTCATAGCCAGGAGCTTGCCGTATGTGAGGTGTGCAGGTATATGGTCAGGTTTGGCTCGGAGGGACTCTTTATACCAGTGTTCTGCCTCCGTGAGTTTGTTCAGCCTCATGAAGGCCTCTCCTGTGAGACACGAGACAGAGGTCAGGTCAACAGGTCAGAAGTTAAAGAAGCACATAACCAGCCCTGCGCCGTGCTTCATCCCACAGCAGAAATGAAGGCAGTCAACTGAAAACAAACCACAAAAAAATCAACACTTCATGAAATTGGATACTGGAGTGAAACCAACATGTAGCTGGTTATTGCTTACTGACCAGAAGATAAGCATTAATTATTAAAGAGATTATTTTTCATTAGATTAGATTTATTTAACAGTATTTGTAGTATATAATAATGAGCATAAAGTATACAGCTGAAGTTGAATTATTAGCCCCCCTGTTTATTTTTTCCTCAATTTCTGTTTAACAGAGAGGAGATTTTTTTAACACATTTCTAAACATAATAGTTTTAATAACTCCTCTCTAATAACTGATTTATTTTATCTTTGCCATAATGACAGTAAATAATATTTTACTAGATATTTTTCAAGACACTTCTATACAGCTTAAAGTGACATTTAAAGGCTTAACTAGGTTAATTAGGTAAACTAGGCAGGTTAGGGTAATTAGGCAAGTTATTGTATAATGATGATTTGTTCTGTAGACTATCGGGAAAAAAATTCTTAAAGGGGCTAATAATTTTGTCCTTAAAATGGCTTTTAAAAAATTAAAAACTGCTTTTATTCTAGCTTAAATAAAACAAATAAGACTTTCTCTGGAGGAAAAAAATATTATCAGACATACTGTGAAAATTCCCTTGCTCTGTTAAACATCCTTTAAGAAATATTTAAAAAAGAAAAAAAATTAAAAGAGGGGCTAATAATTCTGACTTCAACTGTAGAAGCATTAATAGCATAATTGCATTGTTAGTATTCAGAATATTATTAATAGCATTAAAAAAATTACATATTTTGTAACATTGTACATAATATGTAGGCTATATTAAAATATTATAAAAATTAAAATTTATAGATGTATATAAAGAGTTCAGATGCAAAAACCTCAAAATGCCATTTGACATTTTCTTCTTAAATTAGCATATGTATCAGGCTCCAGTGCTTGGGTTCAGTAATTTCACTTTTATGGCAAAGAATAAGGTCTTTTCATGGTATTCAACTGAAATAACTCAACATAACCAACAGAGGATGAGAATAATGCTCATTTTTGATGGAAATTTTAGACAGCATTTAGAGGTTTTTGCATCTGAACTCTTTCATATATTTATACTCTTCAATATATAAATATATCATTGAAGCATATACAGTAAGCTAATATATACAGTATATAAATATATATATCAGCATATGAAATATTATGAAATTCCTTGTAATTAAAATAACATGGATTTAGCATCTACACTGTACATATACAATATACAAAAAAAACAAAAAAAACAACAACAACATATAGACCATTTCAATGGGACCATTCAATGTCATTGGCCCATGAACATTTCCTGCTTGTTGTCAAACTTTTTCATAACTGTAACAAGAGGCAATTGGATCATACTGTATATTATCTTACAACAACTGCCATAACATTATTTATCAATACACGGACCTTTTTGGATTCTCTGAAGCTAAAGAAATTAAAAATGTGTGAAAGGAAATAGGTTAGGACCATTGTTATTGTTGACACCCCTCAAAACGATTTATAAACATGTGGAAATCCGAATATAAATTATATAATATTATTATAAAATTAAATTAATTTTATTTAAAAAAATATAAAATTATAATACAAACTTAAATATACTTAGCAATTTATTAATTTAAAAAATAATAATACAAAATATTAAGTAGAAAGATCTCAATTGCATTCATTTTTTAATTGTTTGCAGAATTATTATATTTAAAAAAAATGTAGAGGAAAAAACATCTACACTAATACATTTCTAAAAATAGCATGCCCTCCGCTCTTCAACTCTTCCTCTCAGCAATTCAAAGCTGTGTCTGTCCCACGCCAACCCTGCTCTTATAAATCCAGATGTAAAAGTGAACTCCTTATGGCACGAGTATAAACACACACTCCTATCCTTTAAACATCATCTAATTCCTCAGCCAGACTTGATCTCCCACCCACCTGCAATAACACACACACACATACATACACACACATAGATCATTACAGAAGAGCGAATCACAGCTACTTCACTGAGATAACACAGCCTAAACAATGTTAATGTAATGTAATTAGAGCAAAAATAACATAAGCAGAGGGTACGTGACTACACTGGGGTTTCACATGACCCGTCAGTCTGAATACGCGTCTGTCCGCACCCATGTAATGCTGGTGTCAAATATAGGACATACGGGTCATTAAAACAGCCCCAAGTCAAATAACACTGGAATTTTCAGCTATTATTACAACAATAAAAATATATATATGAAAACATAACATACTGCAGACAGCTTATTGATGACAGATGAACGATGATGTAACACTAAACTCTGCCTATATTTGTAAATCAACACTGATATTGCTTTGGAAAACCAGTAAGGTTTTTAGGGATTACAGAATCCTCTGACTCAGTTAGCAAATCTTACATAAACACTTTCTCATTCGTCACTTCCATCATTTGTTTTGAGAAACAGAATTAGATTATTCTTCCTGAAGACTCCTACCAATAAAGAGATGGAACTAATGGGATTGCGAATGTAACGATCAAAAGAAATTTGTATCCTTTTTGTTACACCAATCAGTCAGGGCATTTAAAATGCTAAAAGGGATTTTGAACTATGAAATATTCTACAAAACGGTTTCAAAAATGATAATAATCACAAATTAATCTTGTACACTTTTTCCCCTCACACATACCCTACCATGGGATTTGCACTTATTGCCCATGACCTGAATATCAGACTGATCCTTTACGAAAAGTCTCATACAAGTAAACATTGTGTAGAATGGCATCAAACTAAATAAATTGCCACGGACATGCCATTACAGGAACAACATCCGCAGAAAAATACCATTACAGGTGAAATGGTTGGGATGAAGTGGCGTCTGACAAAAAGGCATCGGATTAAATAGCAACAGACAAAAACACAAACGAAAGTAAATCAGTGTCATGTCCGTAGACAAATATTGTTTGTATTTTTTCTACCGTTTTTGCTCTTGTCATTTTGATTAGGTCTGCCTACTCTGACAGCTGATTGGTCAGGAGACTGGTCTGTCATAATTGGACCACGTGGCTTGGCAACATACTTTAAAAGGGATGGCAGAAAGAGCGGAGAGGAGCGCACTTTTCTTTGATCTCGTTTTTGTAATGCAATGTATTTTTTGTTTAATGCCATGTCAGCAACCAATGCTATTTTAACTATTTTAACCAATGCTATTCATGGCTAGAACATTTTAATAATAAATATACGATTTAAAAACAACAAACAAATGAATACATGAATTAAAAAAATAATAATAATTTAGCGCTAACAAATGATAAAAATTCTACATTTTTTCTGGTGTCACTAAAAATGTCCTTAAGAGAGTTCATTTCATTAAAAAAGCCTTCTGGAACCACATTTTGTCCACTTTTGAGACTTCTGTGTTTTGTACATTTTAATTTAGTTTGATTTGTTTGTTACTTTGATGGCCCAGCTCTTTCCAGCTTCATACAGAGTTACCATTCATTTAGTTTACTCTTTTCTCAGAGAGAAAAATGGATAGGGAGGATGTTGTACGACTTTCATCTTGCAAATACGTACTGTAGGTAACTTATTGTTAGAGACACCAGGTAAAAGGTGAATGCCATCTTTTGTTTTTATTTATTGAATAGTTGAAAATAGAGTAGACTTTTTTGTTTCATTGTGCTTTCTAGCGAGGTAAGAGTTAGAATTGTTTTGTTGTATTTTTTCCTTTGTTTGGCATCACTAGCGTCCCCTTACTCCTGCGTTGACCTAATATTTTAGTTTGATACTTTCTTTTTAAACTTGCTACTTTACTTAATTTTTTCATTACTGTAAATATTTCATTTGGTTTATTTATTTGGCCATTGGTATGGTTGTCACTTTTGTAAATTAAATTTTTTATTGGCATTTCCGTTGTCTATGTCTTTTTGCTTTCACCATCACATAGTCAATTGCCAAACCTTAAATGTTATTACTTTTACCTTAGACTAACATCAAAGAGGTTGTGATTTCAGACAAAAATGTATTTGTATGAAACAACATCAGCGAGACAAAAGTCTATAGAACAAAAGTCTAAAGAACAAAAATGCATTGATTGAAACATTAAAAAGACATTGTAAAAAGCAGCATCAGACAAAACAACATAGGAGGAAAGTATCAGCCAAAAGTCATCAAACGAAAAGACAAAATAAAATTAGTTGAAAGACCATAAAATATTGTACAAAAATGAAATTAAATCATTTAAAAAGACTCTGGATGAAATACCATTAGACATAAATGCATCAGAATGAAATTTCTTCAGATGAAAAAAAAATGGCATTGGACAAAATTACATCAGAAAAAATGCTGTAGACTAATGCTGGGTTTATAAAAAAATAAAAAAAGAATCTCTAAATAAAATAAAATAAAATAAAATAAAATAAAATAAAATAAAATAAAATAAAATAAAATAAAATAAAATAAAATAAAATAAAATAAAATAAAGTATTTGTGCAAGTAGATTACATACAAAGTAAATGCAAACACACAAATATTGGTCAAAATTCTACCAGGTGGCATGAATGATGCTAAATGTGTGACATGTTTGTCTTGACCGCAAGTTATTAGCCTTTATTGCATCAAGTTATCGCACAAGTGCAAATAATTCAACGTGAGCCAAAAATGAGCTTGAGGTGAAAAACATCCCGTGAGTAAACTAGAGCTAGTGACGTAGTGCTCTGTGTGGAGTTTTCTTGTTCTCCCTGTGTCTGTGTGGGTTTCCTCAGGGTGCTCCAGTTTCCCCTACAGTCCAAAAACATACTGTAGGTGAATTGGAAGAACTAAATTAGCCGGTACTGGTCTGTTGTGTTAAAGGAGATGAGCCGAAAGGCAAAGCTCTCGATTTACCAGTCAATCTACATTCCTACTCTTACCTATGGTCATGAGCTTTATGTCATAACCGAAAGGACAAGATCTCAGATACAAGCGGGATACAAGCAGATACAAGCGGGCATATATTCATATAGAGTATGAGTGTTAGAGTATATGGGTGTTTCCCAGTGCTGGGTTACAGTTGGAAGGGCATCTGCTGTGTAAAACATATGCTAGAACAGCGACAGTTCATTCCACTGTGGCGATCCCATAAGGGACTAAGCTGAGGGTAACCGAACGAAACTGACATTTAGACCCAATCTGACCTCCTCAGTCAATCTGTACTAGGTTCAGTTGACCACAGGAGAAAGCCGAGGACGCGGGTTGTTAAAATGAGTACAATAGAGTGGAAACAGCAAAAACAAACACATGAACATAAAACAGATAAGCGAACACAAATGAGCTCTGAGGCAAAGGAGCATGGGGAAATAAAAAACATAAATAGTTAGGAAAAATACAGCCGGGAGGAAATAATTGTGAGAAAATGAGATGGGAGGGCAAGACTGAACGCTGTGGGTTGGTAAATAGGTTGCATAAGATATTAAAATCCAACCGTTTGCTCCCATGCTTTAAATGAAACAGGAAAGTGATTCTCACGCTCTCTGCGCCGTACGGAGCCTTTAACTTATCTTGTTGTTGAAGCTGTTAACTCGATCTGACAAAATCAATTCTATGGATCAAAGAAAGCTTTTGAAATGGGTTCCTGAGAAAAACACCAATACAATTACAGGCCCACTGTTGTGAGACAAGATAAAAAAAACAACAAAACAATTTGGATTTACAGTATAAGGGATACAGTCAGTCAGTCTTTATCACGAAATAAGCTGGACAGCGAGGTCTTGTATCGCCCTGAAGGAGTGTATTTTGCAATAATGACATGCTGACTGTACATTATCCCACTTATTACACAACTGCTTACTAGATAAATATATGCGCATGAAATATTGATGACTTGAAATTATTTTATTACACTGTAAAAAGCTTAACTAGCTTATCTTGTTGAATTTATGCTACAAACAGCTTAAAGACTTTGCCAAGAAATGCAGTTCATAACAACACAGAAAACAACCTGTCTAGAAATTAAACACTGGGATATTATAATATTCTTTCATGGTTTTAAGAAATAAATTTTTCATAAAAATGCATTAAAAGATCAAAAATTACAGTAAATATAAAAATACATTTATAATAGTAAAAAAAAGCTCAATTTTAAAGGTCCCATGAAATTAAAATAAAGTTTTTTAGGTGTCAGTGTTGCTAGATTTAAAGATATCTATTAGCTAGTGTGCTCCAAAACAGTGACAAAATGGGAGTTTAGATGATATAAAACTGATACAAACTGGTAAGGCTTGCAGTTTGTTACATCCGTCTAAATGGATCAACGGTTTGATTCACGTCACCTTACACTACAGTTTCTCACCAAATCATAACCAATTAAATGCTTTCTAGTTTCTGACATGCTCCACCCCCTTCAAGATGCTTCTCATTTGCTTTACATTTGATGTACCTGAGCTTAGTCCCTTTATTAATTCATCATTCCACAGTGGAATGAACCGCCAACTTATCCAGCACGCGTTTTACAAAGTGGATGCCCTTTCAGCTGCAACCCATCTCTGGGAAACATCCACACACACTCATTCACACTCATACACTACGAACAATTAAGCCAACCAAATTCACCTGTACCGCATGTCTTTGGACTGTGGGGGAAACCGAAGCACCCAGAGGAAACCAACATGAACGCAGGGAGAACATGCAAACTCCACACAGAAACGCCAACTGATCCAGCCGAGGTTCGACCCAGCGACCTTCTTGCTGTGAGGAGACAGCACTACCTACTGCGCCACTGCGTCGTCATTTATTAAAACATGTAACCATTAAATAAACCCAGCTTTGCGATCTCATAATAGCAGTCACTTAAAATAAAGTTTTAAAAAATGTAATAAATTGCAGCAACTATGCAAATACATTTGAGTCCAGTACAAGTATAAACACAAAGAAACAGACTTACCCATCATATTATAAAGGCTCTGCGGGGCAAACTGCCTAGGCATCTTCTGTATCGCTTCTTTATAAACAGATATAGCCTCCTAAAAAAAACAGAATAGACCATTAACTCTATAAGCAACAATTATATGAATAACCAAAGATTAAATAAAGAAATAAATCCTGAAAAATGTAGTTTCTGAATAGCTAACTAGAATTTTATTGATATTTTTTCCTTGAAAATTGTTTACATTCAATTTATAAAACTAGTTGCTTAGAAACTAATTCATTAACATTTAAAGATTTTCAGTTTTTCCATTTGCTTACGGTTAAAAAGTAGCTTCATATCTTCATTCATATCTACATTGTTAAATGCTTTAAAGTGTGTCTGACCTTGACGGACTGGAAATATATCTTTATGTCAAAGAAGGCGTGGCCTCATTGACACACCCACCAATCCCATAATCATAATAAACAATTGATTTTTTTTGTTTGTTAGGGACCTTTTAAAAATGGTACCCAAAAAGTGGTATAATATGGTTCGCTTTTTGGTACCTTTTGACAGTGGAAACATACATAAAAGCATAAAAGCATATCAAACCGTACCGTACTGTACCACTCAGTGAAAATGGGCCATTGGTTCATCACTTAGTCATTTGAAGGCAATAAGTTTACTCACTTTTCAACTAAATCACTTTTTACAGTGCACCTACATTTTTATAACAACTGCTATTTTCTTTGTTTAATTACCCTTCAATTGTTTTAGACCCTTTGATCACATCAGATTTGGTGTGAACATACAGGTTTATGACCCATTTCCACTGAGTGGTACAGTATGGTATGGTACAGGTCGGTTATGGGTCACCTTTATTAGGCTTGCGTTTTCACTGCCAAAAGGGTACCAATGGAACAGCATGGTGTTCAACAGAAAGTTTCAATCGACGTCATTCTCACTCAGGAAAACATCAAAATAAAGCTGTACAGGTCATTCACATATCATAACAGAAGCCCTTCTCACAAAACAGATTTTTTTTACACATCAATACATGTAGAAATGTTTATTACTAACCTTTCTATGAATATAATTTGATTATAACTGCAGATCAATGACTGTGCTAAATAGCCTGCGGTACCGTCTGCGATTATATAAAATAAATAAATAAATGAATAATTAAACAATAAATATATGAGCACATACAGCCCCTTACAGTCCCTGATATGTTACCAATTACAGAAAAACTACACACAGCAGACATTTAGTCCGTATTTGGGTTCAAAAACAACAAGCAACATGTAGTCCACAGTCATTGCAAACCTCTCATCTGTATCTTTAATCTTCACCAGCACATGTAACCTCTTGTTAGAACATAATTCTGTCATTACAAGTTCATAATAGTCCAAAAGTTGATGATAATATTTTTGGGATATTGCTCTCTTACAAGTTTTGAATTTGAAATGACTTTTATTATCATTTTTAATAGTTTAAAGTATTGATGTCCCGATCAGAGTGATGATAATAGTTAAACATGGCAGTTTGTTAATCTCTTAGTTTGCTGAAATAATCATTTGCTCCTGTTGTTTTTTTTGGGCTTCTTTGTTTTTTCGCACTTCCCACTGTTTCAGAAACCAAGAAACAAGAGATTGATGTCAGAAGCACTTCAATAATCATGCCCACGTTATTATCATCAGCTCAAGAAGTTTGTTATTTCAAATATAGACGTGCAGCACACTCTATCAAGAAAGTAAAACTGCTCAAGCTTTAGATGGCCTTGTAAACAATTAAGGTGCACAGGGTAGATTCAGTGTTCTTCTTGGCTTTGTGGCTGTTCATCAAGACGACAACAAGGTCTGTTTAAGCTCAGGTTGACCATGGCTTGTTATGATTTGTATATACTGTATTATTACGGTGTAATGTCTCGACGGTGTTTAAAAATGGTGGTTCCTTTATTTTTATGCTCCTGGCTTGTGCATGCGCTATTGACGTTTCTCTCTCAACCAATAGCATTCAGCTGCGCGTCTAGCTCCACCTTTTGGTAGCCTTTTGTTTTGCTGACTACCCTTTGAAAAGGGTACCCAAAAAGTGGTACGGTACGGTCCGCTTTATAACCTTTGACAATGAAACAAGGCATAAAAGCGTATGAACTGTATCGTACCGTACTCTAACACTCAGTGGAAACGGGCCATTAGTTCATTTCTTAGTAATTAAAAGGCAATAATTTTACTTACTTTTCAACGAATCCCTCTTGTACTACAGTGCACCTACATTTTTATGACGAATACTATTTTTTTTTTTTGTATAAACTACCTCTTCAATTGTTTTGATCACATCAGGTTTGGTGTGAACATACAATTTTAAAGCCCATCTCACCTCCTGATGGCCCTGTTCATGAAGCAGCTTCCCAAGGTTATAGAGGCAGCTGGTAACCGAGCTTTTGTGTGCATGCGGATCCTTCAGGTTTTCATCTGAGATCTCAGCACAAGTCACAAAAGTGCGCTTGGCTTCCTCGAGACGGCCCTGGTTCATCAGGACAATCCCTGTGTTCAAGTAGGCGGCTGAAAGAGAGAACGAGAGAAAGGGGTGAATATCAGTGCAAAAGGTAATGAGGCTTATTGAGGCTCAGCAAAAGACCTCCACTGGGGCTCCAGGAATGAACTAGTTGATTTATGCAGATCAGCGGCCTGCAGTCTAGTCGATAAGGTGCCAATACATATTCACGATCCAGCCGGGCCTGAATTGAGTTGAAATCAGCAGGGGGATATCCCACTCCAGCTGCAGGCTTAATTCTCAAGCTCTTAATAGACCGCGGATATACACAGAACCAGATATAAATGAGTTTATATCACTTGGACGGGACAATTTATTACAACAAATGCAGAAGGGAATCAGGGGGAAAGCAGACATCCATCACTCTCCTAAAAGCTGCAATATGTTTGTGCCCAGATCTCCAATATTACTGATCTTTTACAGACGTCTGACAGTATATTAATGTGAGGATATACAAGCTCAAAACTGCTCAGAGCTGGGGAGTTACAGAACACATGTTGTCCTGTGTTTGAAATACAAAATATAATTGAAGGATATATATGGAAAAGTACATTCATTTGAAGTGTAAGTTACATTGTGTTCACCAGTCGGGATTTAAACAGTGTCATAACGTTGACCATTTCAACAGCCGCTGCTTTAGGTTGTGCATTGATGGCCACTGTACAACATTATCTCGTCATCAATGAATTAGTTTAAAATTCAACAGATGTTCTGAGTCTCATTCAACAACGACAGAGGAGACATGAGTAGTGCTTTATTTCTTCTAACTAAATAAGTTATCAGTTGTCATTTGTGTAGTCCTGTTGTGTCAAACTCTGATCTATCCTCTCTTGTTCATTGCCTATTTTGACTAGTGGCTGCTGTGGATCCATCTCTAAACTGGAATCTCTGTTGGATTAGTTTCCTTCTCTGACTGTTCTCTCCATAATAACAACTACGCCTGGTGTTCGGCTGCACTCCCCTGCCTGCTGCATTCTCCAGCCCAGAGCTTTGATGCTCAGTGTCTGCATTTTGCCTTCTTGTTTACTTTTCTTGTTTGTTTACTTAACTTTCTCAATTGACGTTTTAATTTGACCTACACTTTTAGTTGAATTATATATATATATATATATAGTTGATAATTTATTATAATTTAAACATTTTATACTGTTTGCTTATAATTAGATGTGCACTGAATGTATTAAATATGAAATATATAATTAAAAAGTTTGATTATATACATTTGCAGGGCATTTTTACACTTAAAAGTTTAAATATGTAGTTTTTTAATTAAAAATATATATTTTATTTAACAGAAAAATAATGAACAATATTAAATATCAAGCAAACTGGAAAATTATTACTGCTTATCCTGCATTCTAGTCAGTATTGATAAACATTATTACATGTAGTAAGAACGTCTTCTCATGGTTGCTGAATGTAACACGACACTGTTGCTAAAGCCTTCTCACGTCTTACATTTTTACGTTGTGATAATGTAGCAAGTACATAAGTGGCGACGTTGCTTTTACAAAAACGCAATGTTGTACAGACATTGCTACAACATAGATGTATTTGTTGGGAAAAATATCTTCTATTTTTCCTCGTTTGTTTATGCTTTTGAATTGCATTATGGGATATTGCTCTCTTAAAAGAACTTTTAACTTTGAAATGACTTTTGTTATAATTTTTAATAGTTTAAAGTAGGGATGTCCTGATCAGGTTTTTTTGCCCTCGAGTCTGAGTCATTTGATTTTGAATATCTAACATTACCTAAACCCGATTCAATGATCTTTATTACATAAAAAAAGAATAGAGAAGAGCAAAGAATCAGATCCAGGAGGTCTCTTATTTTTCATTTAATTCCCCTTATTTTAACATTCAACAACTCTGTTATCAAACAGAGCCCTTCTGTGAGGTAGTTTGAACAATCAAGTAATAAACAGCATAAATTCTTCATTTGTGGACTTTAAATATATAAAAAAATGAATATAAAAACAAATAGCACCTTAACCTAAAATACCCGGCAAGCATGCGCACACACACACGCACACACACACACACACGCACGCACGCACGCACGCACGCACGCACGCACGCACGCACGCACGCACACATATTACAAAGAACTGCATTTCTAACTCTCACTGTCATCACAGTAGTAAGTTTCACAGAAGAAAATGTTTTTCTTAATGAAACTCACTGTATAGTGTCAGGTGTTTGTTTTTGAGGTGCCTCATAAGGTTTGTTGTAGCCTTTTCTTTTCCACCTCTTGCAATCCCAAGTTTACATATCTCATATATACATACATATATATTCAAGTACTGATCGGGAGGTAACGTCTGATTCCGTTTGAGTCTGAAACCATGTGATCGGGTCCGATTTCCGATCACGTGATCGGATCAGGAGACCCCTAGTTTAAAGTAATATATTCTCTGGGATGGTGCTGTAAAGTATGCTACAAAACCATGTAATAAAATGACAGTACATTTTCTGATATTTTACAGTCTATACATTATTTATTATGCATTATATTACTTTAAACGACTACAATGTCAATAAAAGTCACTTTATTGAACTGTAGAGTTGAATTTTGAGCATTAAAAGTTAACAGAGCAGAGATGAACGTCTCATAATGCAATTCACAACTGTAAATAAACGCAAAGCACCACCTCCGATATTTCACTGTCAAATAGAACAGTTATCATGAACACTGTTGCTAGTGTAAACAGAAGTTTGCAATGTTTTCCTCACCTCGGAGTTCTTCTGATTGGGTCAGTTCTTTGAAACTGATCAGAGCCATAGAAAGAGAGAGAGGGAAAACTCCATTGACTCCAATGGAATGGAACGTTTCTTCAACAGCAATAGCGGCTCATGGAGATTCTCAATAGTTACCAAAAGCATTTACAGCCAACTTGAGTTGTTGGTCTTGCACTTTTAAGTGGTACAATGTTTTTAAAAATAAGATTGTGTATATTTTAATGTTATCTAACACTATTGTATAGTCCTTATTACAATGTTAAATACGTGTTGTTTGCAAATACATTAGTAGTCGACTTCTCATGTGTAAACAATCTATTCTAAATATAAAACTATGCGTTCTCTACATAGCTCATAGTGCTGTAAACGTGTCAGAAAGCTTAATCTGGTGACATAAAATCAACATGGTGTGTGTTTAATATAACACTCACCACAGTGGTCGAAAATTGCTTATTATATGCATGTTGTTTTTTAATGTGACCATTAGCTACTATTTTTTTTTTCTTCAGTAGGTTATGGATAAATATGGTGATTCTAATAATTTAGGTGCACTGTACGAGAAAGCACGACCACCCATAGTCTTTAGTTTACAGCGTGGCTGATAGAGCAAAAGTCCAGATGAAGAACGAAGACTGCGGGTGGGAGTGGCCAGAGTTACCAGGTCATAGATGTAGTCAGGTGCTAGCCCATGCACTGCTTTATATGTTAAAATCAGAGTCTTAAATCAATACGTGACTTAACAGGAAGCCTGTGAAGTTGCTGAAGTACAGGAGTGATATGGTGGCACGACATTACATTAAAAATTGGATTTTTACATGTTTTTGACACACCTCATATGCTAAAAAACTACAGCACTGTATTAAAATACTATCCTAAACAACTATAATGTAGGAGATATCCAACCAAACAATACTTGAATATATTGCTGAATAATATTTAGTAACATTTACATTTCTTTACATTTCTAGAAAACATGTTAGTCTTGATCTTCAACCAGTGATAATTACATACTGTTCGACAAGCTAGTTGATTCTGAAAATATATAAATAAAAAATAAAGATTAGCACAAAATATCTCTCTTTTTTATCAGAGCTCATAAATCCCAAGACTCCTCTGCATGCATCCTGCTAATCGTCTCTCAGGGCAAATCAGCTCATTCAAGCAGAGCAGCAATAATTTCCTCCCATGACACTAAAAACAACATGGGAAAATTCAACCAAAAAACCTCCAAATGGCCAAAAATAGCATGTGCATTTCATTTGGATATGGGGCAAGCAAATGCATTCACTGGGCCTGACACTATGAAAGGACTTTGGCCTGAATCCTTAGGTTTTTTTTCAGTTGAAATCGAATCAAACGTCAATCATTCTTTGACAAGAGTGGAAAGTCACTGTGGAGGCCTGTGAATCATCATTATTTCTCTAATGCTGGACTTCATCCCAACACACACACACACACACACACACACACACACACACACACACACACACACACACACACACACACACACACACACACACACACACACACACACACACACACACACACACACACACACACACACACACACACACACAAATTTCAGACTGTAGTTGCCTGGACACTGAAGACTGAGGAGGCTTGAAATTGTGGATAAAGAGACGAGCTGTACTTACAAGCCAGTGTTGGCCTGCTCCCAATGGCCAGCTTATAGTAGTGAAGGGCCTCTGAAAACCTGCTGTTCTCCTGGAGCAACAGACCCCTGCAATCCAAACACATCAAGACAGACAAACAACAAATGTTACAAATGATGAGGGATGACATTATTTAAAACTGACAAAAAGTGTATAAATGCAGTGATACAGTCCCTTGATTTATATAAAAGTTTGTTTAGTGATATTGAATTTCAACAAAACCTTCCAAAACAAGCAAACAAATTAAACAAGTTGCTCAGCAGTAATTTAACAAGCTAGACCTTTTTAAATATATATATATTTTAGAATTTTGCAGGAACAAACACAGTTTTTTTTGTTTTGTATTAAAAAGGAAAATAAAGTGAGTCTTAAAACAAAGTTGATGAACCAGATTAAAATATGTTCAAAAAGATAGTAGTAAAGCCTCTTGAGAAACTATATGACCGTTTGTATTACAAGAACCTCACAAGGCTGGCAAGGAACATCATTTTGAATCCTAGTCATGCGTGCAATCATAGATTTATACCATTAAAGTCTAACCGTCGATTTAGAGTCTCAAGTTTTAATGAAAAGAAATTTAAAAAGTAATTTGTACATCAGGTTGTCTTGGAGCTGAATAAGGTCCATAAAAATGTTTTTTTTTCTTCTTTTGTATTTCTTTGTCTCTTTGGAAGAAGCATTTATCATGCTGTTTTGCAAGAAAAAATTCAAATGCAAGTTTGACTAAGTAATTTATTGTAATGTATTGTATAAATATTTTTTTCCCTTTTTTACTTTTATCATCATCATTATTGTACTTCTACTTCTTCTTCTTCTTCTTCTTCTTCTTATTATTATTATTATATTATTTCATGGTTTTGACATTTTATCATTTTAACTTTAAATTATTATTATTATTATTATTATTATCAAAATTTTTATTTTTTTTTAATAAAAAATATAAATCATTTAATTATTTTTTTGACATTTTTATTATTTAAACTCACTATTATTATTATTATTATTATTAATAATAATAATAATAATATTAATAATAATAATAATAATAATAATAAATGTCATTATTTTTTACATTTTTATTATTTAAACATAAGACTACTACAACCATTATGATTATTTTTACTATTATTATTATTAGCATTTTTATTTTTATTATATACTTTTACAAACATGATGTTAAATAAGAAAACAAACAAACAAATGTGCTTTTCTGATCTTATTAATCTGATCAAAAAAGTTTTAAATTGTTATAAAAATGTAAATAAACAATATTTAAATATACAAAAATAGCAAATTAATCCCCATGCTACTTATTTTTTATTTCTAATTACAAAAGCACATGAAAAAAATAACCCTGCCACACTGGATGACATGCAGTGTGCAAAATTATTTACAAAATGATTTCGTTCTGCCTGAAAAATTGAGATGCATCGAGAATGGGTTTGTAATCACATCACAACCCCCTGAATTAAAATCAAATCAGACTGCGAGATGCCTGAGGATCTCCTCTAACCACTGCTTTACATGTATTGCTGTGAACAGGCCAAACGTGTGCGGTATATGAATTATGTATTAAGTGTCTCCGTGGCCTGACGCTGGGGGTTAATGTGTCTAGAGGGACCCTGTCAGTGTCCTCTGGAAGACGGATGAATCTGGGGACAGTGTGGGTCTAGCGGTTTACTGTGCTTTGACAGGACAGATGGACAGAATTCTGCTCACTCACAGGTTATACAACATGTCGGCCATGTTCCTTCGGTAGTACAGAGCATTTCTGTAGGCTTGCTCAGCCTCCTCCACCTTCCCCTGGTTCTTCAAGACGTTTCCCAAGTTGCCCCAGGCTAAGGACAGAGAGTAAAACAGTAAAATATGCAGTTTCATGAATAAACACTACACAACAGCACACAAAACAGAAAACAAAAACAAAGACAAACAGAAAAAAGAACAAAACGGAACCAAACAGAACCAAACAAAAAAGAAACAGAAAAAAGTGAACAAAACACCACAACACAGACAACACAAAACAGAAAACAAAACAAAACAAAGACAAAGAGAACCAAACAAAACATCAAAACAGGACCAAACAAAATCAAAACAGAACAGAACCAAAAAAAAACTAAACAAATTAAACAACACCAAATAAAAATCAAACCACATTAAGCCAAACAAACCAAACAAAACCAAAAAAACACAAAGCAAAAAAAAAACAAAAAACAAAGCCAAAACAAAATCCAAAGCAAAAAACAACAAAGAAAATATAATATAATATAAAAAAAATATATATTTTGTATTAAAATTGGTCTGATACTGTGATAAATAAGTGATTTTGCATTAAGTGACTCATGTTTTTTTTTATCTTTAATTTACAGAAGATTATTAAAAGGGATTGATTTTCATAACATTTTCACAACATATTATGTTTATATAAAATAATTGAGATGTATTTCATGCTTTATTTTTGTAATACGAATTTTCAAATTGTGTGTCATTAATTTTGTGGCATTATTGGTTTAATCTTTGGCCTCCAGAATATTTTTACAGTGTTCTCTGTGACGCAACCTGGCTGCAAGCACAAGGCAAAATTGTGAAACTTTTCATGATTGCAAGGCAAGACCATTTGAAATTCATACTCTTCATGAAAGGCAGAAGCAAAGAAAAAAGTAAATTACATTACAATAATGCAATCTTAGATGCTAGCCATGCATAATATCTGTGCCAAGAAAAGGGCAAAAGTGACACCGCCTGCAAAACTGGATCATGGGAGGCAATTACGAAGTCATATTGACATCGCCTGACTTGATAAATGATTTAAATGGAATTTTGACAATCAATTTAAATGACTTAACAAATGAAGATAACAGGGTGTCATTAATATATGAAATTCAATCAAGAGAGGATGATCATTTAACAGTTCAGCGGCTCTTCTATACAAACAAAATGATCTCAGTGCATGAATACAAGTGATTGATAAACTGGAAGGATTTTTAATATATGACTTGCAATTAAAGAAGCAATATTCTCAGCGCTTATGGAAATGAGTACTTAAAATGCATTGGCAAATTTGCTTTTATGCTAATGCACACTTCATAAATGTCAATCTTACTTAATTAAAAAATTATATTAACTAAAAGATTAGATTTTGAGTAATAGAGTGGAAAAACTCCAAAGATGCACTGCCATGAGAACAAACTGAGATAGCATGATACATAAAGCCTCAAACCTCATAATGTTTTATGATAAAAAGAGATTAGCTACTTTTGGTTTTCAGCTGAATTTGGAAGAAGAAAATGATTACAACACAGTTTATAATGTGTATAAATAGAGACAATTCTATAAGCAAACAGTGAATATTTATTTACATGATGCTACATAGCATTTTTTCTAAACATTTAAAAAAAGGAGTTTAAATCTGAATTTTCGTTTCATTAGCTGCAATAAAATATTTATGCACTATAAATACGTTTGAAGGAGTCTGCATGCTCATAACTTCACTAGCAATGCCAAAGTTTTAGAATATTTTTAAAATATCAATTTTTGGAGCCTTAGTGTTGCAGACTAATTTATTTACTTTTTTAATATATATGTTTTTGCTCGAGGGCTCATTTAAGATTGATGCGCATGCTTTTCTTGGCATTTTAACTAACTAACTAACTAAATGCATAAATAAATAAATAAAAAAATAGAAAAATAAAAAATAAATAAATACATACATACATACATACATACATACATATATATACATACATACATACATACATACATACATACATACATACATAAATATCTTCCAAGTAATTTTTTTTCTCATTTATTGTTCAATGCATTAATATTACTAAAACTGAATAAATGCAAGTGTATATACAACAGGCTGACAGCTATGCATCCTCAAACTTCACTAGCAATGCCGAAGTACTAAAATATTTGTATTGCCATGGTGTTGCCGACTAATTTATTTACTTTTTTATTATAGCTAAAACGGTTGATGTTCTGCCACAAGATTGTGACAAGAGGCTGCATAATAAGTCCTTAGTGGAAAAAAAACAGCATTTTCACAGCATAAGTTTCAAACTACAGCTGAACAAATCATTATAAAACAGGTAAGTGACATTCTAAGTTGATCTCTCTCTTTTGTTTGTTGTAGTGCTGTGTTTATATCGTAATAATCTGGTAGTGTTTGCATTGCTCTGGTTTTTTCAGGGTTACTTATAGCGATCTCCCAATTGCAAAAGAGAAATACTACACTGTAAGAAAATTCCAGATTTTCCCAACATTTTACTGTAACTTTCCACAGTAAATTACATTAGCATCACTTTACAGAATTTAACTGTAAATATTCGCATTAACGTGTCGAATACAGAATTTTATTGTGAAATTAATCAAATTAGCATGATTACTGTAAAAAGGGCTATATCTTTTGAATGTTAGTTATAAGAATTCAAACTCTTATTTAATTCAACATAGACATTAATACAAATGAACTTTTATGCTAGTATTGGCACTTTTTTTGAAATTTAGAAATAACAGAATGTTATTGCAGCCCCAAAAACAATTTGGTTACATCTTCAAAAATAACTTGTGCTGTTTTGAAATGACGTGAATGTCAGAGTAAATCAAAAATTTTCTTTATTTAACTTTGTAAGGTAAACGTGGATATATGAAATAATTTTAAATGAACATAATGTTGTGCTCAGCCAAAAACGTAATAATAAAAAAAGTAATTATTTCATAAAACCAAACACTGTTAATCACCCAAAATGATTTCAAAGTCAAAGGTAAATGTCAGATTGACTGGCTGAGGAAAGCCTGCTTCACAGTAAAATATAGTTAATTTTATGTGAAATAACAGTAATGGACTTTACTATATACTGTGAAGTTACAATATATGGCTGCAAAAACATGTGAACTACCTCACAATAATTTGTTGTGAATTTGCATACAGTATTTTACTGTGAAAGTAATGCAATTATAAGCCAGTAATTTAGAGTGAATTTAAGGTCATATTTTAACAGTGTGGGAAATCTCTGTAGATTGATGTCTTTTCATGCCGTTCAGCCTTATGATCTTAAACTGTGAGCAAAATCACCTGTTTCGTCATAACTTTAGACATTACATTAGAGAATCATTCAAATACTAGCTCTAAAGTGACATTGTAACTTAGTAACAATACTGCTGCTCTGGCGTCAGCTGCAGATGTGTATGAATGGCGGAAGAAAGTAGTTCCTCTTACCAAGGAGCTTTTGAGACTCTCCGTGTTTGATTTTCTTTTTTTATAAACACAATTACGTCATTGAACTGTTATATAAAAGCAATATTACACTTGTAGCAGTGCAATACATTTACATATATTTTGGATGAATTAATGAATAAATAAATAAATAAATATCAATCCATCAAACCATAAACATACACTAATGACACTAGAACAACTCCTGGTCGGAGAACAATCTGGACTGCTAAAGCAAAGATTGGTATCTTCAGACGTATTGTGTATTGCAATCTCATAATTACCTTTGGCAGGGTTCACAGATATCCCTGACTTGTATAGCATCTCCTCATTCTGCCAGTCTCGGTTCCTCAACACCGTCTTAATTCCAAAGAGAAGAACCAGCGCAGCAGAGCAGCCCAACACCAACGTTCTAGAGGACTTTCTCCTTAGTCGGACATATAAACACCTCATTCCTAAAGCCACCAGCAGACAGTAGCCCATACTAGGAATGTACAGCACTCGCTCGGCCACCACAAAACCAACATAGAAGAACAGATTGGTGGCTGGGATGAAAGGAATGGCTAATAAACCCAATGAAAAGACCACCAAACTTTCAGTAGTGGGTAAAGATGATGAATAGTGCTTTACAGTACCATTTGTTCCATTCATCTGCACTGAGTTTGAGTAGAAAGTTGAGTTTTCATAGTCAGTGCTACAACTGTGTCCATTTGAGGACTTTCCATTTGCTACATGATGGGCTTTACCATTGGTTTCTTTGCTTTTTGTTGGGTAAAGGTGAAGTCCAAACCAGGCCAGAGATAGAAGTGAGGTGTAAAAGGCAACAGTGTGGAGGTTTCGCCAATCGGCAATGCTCCTCAGCAGAGGCAGGGCGTCCATCGACCAATCAAAACTCAGCATGTCAGGGCAGAGGAGGAGCCAGACATTAATAGCGGGCAGGAAGAGGAAGGTTAGGGTTCTAGTGAGGAAACAGGGACAGTCGGCCGCAGGGTTGTCCGAGTTCGAGAAGTTCGGAGGTTTGTTGCCCATCCAGTAAAGACGACAGGCTAGAAGGATGACACCCCAGAAGCCCAGGAGAAACACACTGAGGAGAAGGCGCAGGTTCTTCTTCTGAGAGACAAAAAAAAAAACAGAGGAAAAATATAGATGAGAACATGAAATGACTGATAGGTTCAGATAAAAACATAGGCATACAAATAATGTGAAGGAAAAAGCATTTTTAGATTACCAAACACCAATACAAATAAACTGCACATATTTAAAATCAATATAAAAACAATCTAAATAGAAGATGATTTATTTATACAAAGAGACAAAAAGTAAAAACATAAAAAAGAAAGAATAAAAAGAAATAAAATAAATTTTGCAGAAATAAAATAAAATTCTAAATAAATGAATTTTTAAAATATTTAAAAAATAAATAAAATAAAATAAAATAAATAAAAAATTAAATACAATAAAATAGCTGTGTACCTAGAGCTGATCATAAATCTTTTTTTCTTTTTAGGAAAAACTAAAAGAACAACACTAAAACAGCAGAGGGACATTGTAAAATAAATAAAACAAATGCATTTTCTGAGCTGATTATTAAAATAATTTTGAAAAAAGGGAAAAACTGTTTAAAAAAAGCATACTAAAAGTGCACATCACATTTAAAAAAATAAACAGCAGTCAAAAAAATGCTACTTGTTTAAATTACTTATTTAAACTGAGCTCAAATGTCACAATTGTTGTGTTTGGGACAACTTAATTCCTTTATGTTCAATCCACTTAAATCTGTAAAAACAATCAAGTTAACTTAATCGACTTGTGTTGGGACAACATGAAGGAATTGCGTGGACTGTGTGGTTTCCACCAACACCCTGAGCAAAAGTCTAGAGCATTCCATCTAAATTAAATATGAAACAAGAATTACGAATAATAGTAGCACATCCAACAGTACGCAAATTGAGATTGGAAAAATCAAAACAGCACATTAAAAAATAATATTTGCTACTTTCTCACTTAGGCCCTGTTTACTACGTTTTAGTTTTAAAACAGTGTTTTACAATGAAAACGATCCACGTCCACACTGGCATTTCACCCAGCATTTCTGAAAATATCTCAGTCCACACTACACCTCTGAAAATGCACATCATTTTGCTTTGAGCACACCTCCCCAGGTGAGAGCAGCACACATCAGGCAGTTCATCAAGGATCTTCCGCTAGATTTTATCTCACTATAGTTGTCAAACGTGATATTTGATTCATCATCTCTCTATGTAATGACTCTTCAGTCTTTTGAATCTATTACTCGTTCTCAAATAATGTGTTTTGGCTGAGTGCAAAGATAAGGTAATATATTAATTTATGTAAGCACATACACTGTTTCTGCATATTGACTGATCACTTGCTTTCATTTCCTGCAATGTATGAACTATTGTGCGTTATACTTTTATAAAGGCCATTATTAATTATTAAAACTGATATTCAGCTACATGACGCCTCAACATTTTTTTGCGTTTTTAATATCAAAATGAACATAGCCAGTTCCTCAAATCATTTTGTTGTTAAGATCCAGGGTGATGTAAATGACGTTATAAACTACGCTGTTTTTACCTGTCGTGTCCTCAGGAGTTTGTTTTTCATGTCAAACTTGCAAAGTCTGAACTTAAGGAAAGGGTGTAAGACTGAACTTCGTTACTTAATATTGAGGAAAAAACCCAATCAGATCACACCTCCATTTACAAACGTCTCCGTTTTCCCCCATCCACACTGACATAAAGCAGCAGCGTTTTAAAACTAAAATGGGCTTCTCAGCATTTTCAAAAAGCTCAGTTTTCAGGGCTCAAAAACTCTGGGGTAGTGTGGATGGAAAGCCCAACCATAGCAAAACTTATATGTTTTAAAAAGAAAATGTATTAGTGTAAACGGGGCCTCATTAAACTACTTCTTCAACACTATTATTGAGATTTTGGGGGGGGGGGGGGGGTGCTTCATTGTTTTGTTCAATCCACTAAAATTTGTTAAAACAAATAGTTAACTTAATTGATTTGTGTCAGGACAACCAAAAAAAAAATGTGTGAAACAAAGCATTTTTACAGTGCAGTGCAACCTGGAACTAAAGCAACCTTATTAAGATTCTTAACTGCTGCTCAATACATACTGCACCACATGCGAGTACTAGTTTCATCATTACATCAATCCATTTGATGGTTATTAAAATTCAGCCCTTTGCATCACCAGCCTTTGCAAACAAGTCCAAACTCACACATGCATGCATTTCCCACATTTTTCAGAAAGGCCAGAATAATAAACGCAGCGCCATTGATGGCTGGTCAGCGAGTACAGCCTTGACGTCACAACACCGCATTTATCTCCGTCTCCAACAGCCGCCTTTCACAGACTTTATAAAATAAACAAGATATGGTCCCATAAAGGTGCCAATCCATCATACGGCAGCGCTGATATTAAACACTCCGACATGAAAATGATTTCAGAGTATTTATGGAGTGTTTGAATATTTTACACGTTAAGTAAAAGGAGGGAAAATGTTGTATGGTTCCCAGTAGAGCAGCTGCAGAGTTCAGGATGCCTTCCTTCACGTGTTGATTTTGGACGGAGGACGAGCTCAAGCAATTTTATGACTTCCTCCAAACACGGAACTCATTCAACACAAACGGCAAACAAACATGCAAATGATTACTTCAATGCTTTACAAAATCAGAGACGCAGTTAAAAGGATTTTCACATTTTGTCAGTTTGATCAGTTTCTGAGTTACTTAGTCACTGACACAACTGAAGTTAAGTGTGTTTTGAAGTAAAAACAGGTCTTTTTTTTTTGTTTTTTTTTTTGACGGCCCTCATAATATTTTCTGCTAGAAATATAAGACCATATCATATTTCAAAGTAACAAACCAAGGATCTTTTTTTTTAAAAACAATAACAACAAAAAACAAACATTTATTCTATCTTCATGTGTTCATGTTTTATTACTTCTTGAATGTAAGTTTCATAAAAAAATACCCTTTTTTTGTTTTGTTTTTTTGTGTATTTTGTATAGTATTTAAAAGACATACGCACAAACAATTTGTCCAAATCGACAGGGGTCGATTACAATAAGGTTCATTAGTTATTGCACTTACTAACATGAACTAATCATGAACAACACATGTACAGCATTTATTAATCATAATTGAACATTTACTAATGCATTACTAACATCCAAGTCCATGCTTGTTAACATTAGTTAATGCACCATGAGTTAACATGAACTAACAATGAACTACTGTATTTTCATTGACTAACGTTTACTAACATGAACAAATACAGTAGTAAATTTGTTCATCATTGTTTATTCATTTTAGTAAATGCGTTAATTACATTAACTAATCAACCTTATTGTAAAGTGTGACATAAAAGTTGTATAACTCTTTATTTTATATGCGATCTGATCTACATCGTCTCTGATTGTCTTATATTTTTAATTCTTGTAACCTATTCACGACATGTGCTAGGGATTCTCTTATATACCTAAAACACAGATTGAAAGAGTTGTAGGAAAGTGTTGTCTCTTAATTAGCAAGATATCTCGTCTATGAGATAGTTTACCCAAAAATACCAATTCTGCCATCATTTAATTAGCCTTCGGGAAATTTAGGAAAAACAAATTCTATGAAAGTCAATGCTTACAGGTTTCTTCATTCTTCAAAATATATTTTTTTTTAATGTTCAACAACAGAACATCTTAAACTTGTTTGAAACAAGTGAAGTGTGAGCAAATGAATACAGAGTACCAATTTGAAGTGAACTGTCTCTTTAAATGTGGCATTTTCACATACTTTCAGATGTGCATTTGCCTCCACTCATTTTCCACAAGGTTTGTTTCATAAGCTTTAAAAGATGTTATGTATAGTACATTTGGAAAACACTCATATTGAGAATATGGGAAGAATTAATAAAACTTTCCCTAAAGAATATTTGTGAACGATGTTGTCAGTCCATGACACCATTTATTGTATATCGGGGAATGTTTTGTCTCCCAGCTGACTCTCTAACAGAATGACTGTATGTGTTCTGCATTAATGTCCAGCTGCTCTCAACTCTATAGATTTTTTGGTGCTGTTTTCTGGTCATCTCTGCTTTAGACAAAAAGAACACATTATTGTTCACATGGGAAATCTCTGTATAGCAGGCCACCAGTTCCCATGTAATCATGTTATAAAGCACAGACGTACAGAGCAAGTCCCAGATGGCATAACCTTTGCCATAAGACCTGACAAGTACACAGCTTTGATATGATAACATAGGAAAAGACAACATTCCACAAGAGAGAGAACAAAAGACTTTAAAACTGAGAAAAATAGATAGAAAAATAAAGTAAAAATGTAACACTAAAAATATATATATTTTCTAACTGAAAGAATTTTGGAGCGACAGGGTGGCTCAGTGGTTCGCACTGTCGCCTCACAACAAGAAGGTCACGAGTTCCAGTTGGGCCAGTTGGCATTTCTGTGTGGAGTTTGCATGTTCTCCCCATGCTGGCGTGGGTTTCTTCCAGGTGCTCCAATTTCCCCCACAGTCCAAAGACATGCTGTACAGGTGAATTGAACTAAATTGGCTGGAGTGTATGAGTGAGAATGAGTTTGCATTGATGTTTTTCTGGGTTGCAGGGCATCTGCTGTGTAAAACATATGCTAGAATAGTTGGCGGTTCATTCTACTGTGCGAACCTAGATAAATTAAGGGACAAAGCGGAAGGAAAATGAATGAATGTTATATTTTATATTTTTAATGTGAATTACTTCTTTATTTTTAATTAAATGTTTACACTACTTACTAAAATTATGACCACACAAATGATGACAACTTATATTTCTAGAAATTAAATTTTTTTAGACATGAAATAGTTGCATTATTAATGTTTTAAAATGTTTTACTTATATATATATATATATATATATATATATATATATATATATATATATATATATATATATATATATATATATATATATATATATATATATATATATATATATGTTAAATGTTTTTATTTATAAAGAGACAAATAATATGGTAAACAATTTAAACATTTAAATTCAATAAAAAATCTAATAAAATAAATAAAAA